ATATAAGATATGTATAGTAGAGCACAATGAAAACTTCCACAATGTTTCTCAAAATCATCTCTATACATAGAAAGCTTCCTTGGAACTCTTTCACTCACTACTAATATCACAAGCAATTATATAATCTCCATATGCTATATTTGATGTTTAAAGCATGGTTCCACAGAATCCTATAGCACGGTACTAGCAAGTCTATGCACCCGTAATATCAGGCAGTCTATTGCATGTTATTACAGTAAATGACCCAATAAATACGTCTGAATGCGATATATACATACTGTAGAGATATCTGGTCAGATTTAGTGAGTATGAGCATAAGGATTTAAGGCAGCTTGCTTTACGGCCGAGTTAGCACTACTAGTATATTTGATGGACTGCAGCCTAGAACGGGAGAAATATATATATCTGCGCACATGGCACCGGTTTCTCCATCATTGCATTTTAGATGATCGGACAGAAGAGGCCGTTTATGACAGAAACTACTTGATACTAACTTGAATAAGATACTAATCACATATAAAGAGCGTCTATAATTCAAACCCACTATTTGTGGCGGCTGCTAGGCTATATAGCAAAGTAGGACGAGCTTGAAGGTTATAATACCGTGATATTGGGTAACCAATGCTACGGCACTGAATAGGGCTTAATGCAGATAAGTGGGTACAGCCTACCTTGAAGATACTAATACAAGCTGTCATTTATCTCTATATCAATGGACTGAAACTCAATAGCCTAGTAATCTCGGGGTAGAGTATATCCAACAGTCGATGTCATATTGACGCTCTGAGCCAAACTCGGTTTTCCAAAATTTGACGCGAAATAACAGAAGCCCCGGAGGGAACATCAAAAGCGGCGTGTAAACAGGGGCATCAGATTAGAAAGGCTGGCTGCACCCATTGCGACGGTAACAAAGCCCGAAGACCCCTCGGATCATGGCAGGTATTGCCACCAACCCCTCCAAGCCACTAAGAAAAAGAAGCCAAGGGCGCCATCATGCCAGGCACGAGATCCAAACTACTTGGAATGAGCCATAAGTAAGCAGTGGTTAGCTCGAATTCTAATTGATATGACTTGTCCATCACTTACCTAATGCGTTACTGGCAACGCAAGGGGGTTCTTGGGGGGATTTGGGGCCCCGCCTGTCTCCTCGACGATAAGGTTTTTATTAGCGCCAAATGCCGCCCGGTTATCGTTCCGAATACCGTGGTATTATTTCACAGTTAAAAATAACAGGTATTGTATTGATCGACCGTCGTTTTATTACACGTATATGGATTTCCTGCCTCCGAAGGGAAGTGTCTACGCAAGGCAGGCAGCAGCCAGCGGATGCAATGTAACAAAAAGGACTTTTTTTTAGCTGCAACCGAGATAATTGTCGGTTCTAAGGGGTTGGTCACCCATTTATCAGATAAAATCTCCCCTTACTTGAGAGACAGGGTGAATCGTGCTGGTAATGTCTGCAGTACGAGAACGATGCATATCTGATCGGTGGAAACGATCGTTTGAATTGTTTTCTCCATCATTCGGGCTTGTTTAACTCAGCTACAGTTATGGAGGTGACGTATCCGTCAGTAGCCAGAACGTTACCTATCTTACATTCGCAAGAGGCCGACTGCACATTCCTACTCACAAAGTAGCCAAATAGTGTATAGCAAATCCCGAAGGTTTTACAATCATCAATACTCTCCGTTATTACTTAATAGTATGTCCCTAAGTATGCAGCATCTGCGATGTCATCAGTATCCTCCGGAAGAAGTTGGTCAGGAGATCTCGGGGCATACCTGTCCTTGGACGAATGTATCATTCCCTCTTGTGATGACCGAGAGCATTGCTGAAAACAGGAACATGAAAGGACAAGGTAGACTAAACAGGAAATAGCCGAATGGCAATGTTATGTGATTCTACACCATTATACTCTGAGAATGCGTGACCATGCCTGCCTATTTTCACTTTCTATGGGTAAGAATTAGACCTTTTGACCGTGGGATGCACCAAACTTGGATTTCATGAACGTAATCCTCTTCGAATTACCCGTTTCATCTGTTGCCTACTAAGGACAGATGCTCGAAACACTCAGCAGCACATTCTGCATGCGGTATCATAACAGTATTTTCCGGAATTTTCAGCAATTGCGATCATTACGTAGTCTACAAAGCCAGCGAGAGGCTACACAGCCATCGAACCATTCCAGGTGACCTCTAAACTAGCCCAAATCAGGAGACCGTTGTCAAATTATCTTTCCTCCCTCCTCAACGGCATATTCACCGGTTACAGCACCCGACCAATGGTAATGTTAAATCATTTGGATTATATGGGGAGAAAGCAGTGACTGACTCCGTCTTGACACCCTTGTGACTACCACCACTATCGTAACTTCCATAATTTCATTCCGTTCACGGAAATGCGCGTACTGCAAGTGCCACACTGTCTGATGGGGGTCTCCCTTTCGTGTGCTGCATGTATCTGTAGATTAGACCGAAGTGCAGCTGCAAGACTTTGGTTGAAAGGAGGATTACTAAATAGTAAAAAGACCACAAAGATCCACATTATAATTATTAACAGCAAAGTAGGTTACTTAACATGGGGGTAAATACTGCATGCATTATTGGGGTACGGCGGATAGGTGAGCGAGTTCGCCACAACGCACATGACGCAGGCTCACAGGTGTCCAACGCATCTGAATCTGTATTGAAATAAGACACAGAAGAATTAGAACAAAAAAATAAAAAAAGCTAAAAACATACAACAGAAGGGATTCGCTGGTGGTCACCCACCCAACTACTAACCTCCCGGCGTGTGGCTTAAGTACGGCTGAGCGGACGGGAAGCCCTGTTTTCCACACCCTATGGTCGTATGTGAAAGGTCTGAGTATGTACAAGTATATAACTGTTTCAAATATTACAGTTGCTGCTAAAACAAGTCAGGTATAATGTCAAGTTGTATGAAAATACGGTTGCTGCACAGGCGCGGACTAGCGACTGTTCTGTGACTTCATCTTGCCGCGGGGCTAAAAGTAATACACAAAAGATTATATTCCACTCGGCCGCATCAAAACCTATGGCTGAAGTATGGGTGGCCGGACGAGAGGGTCTGCTCCTTAAGGTCCGTGATCGTACATAGCTATGGAGGTAGAAAGCAGATGTAAATAGGCCAATCAGAGTTGACAATTGTGGCACAGAAGGATTGATCAGTGATCATTTACCCACATCTTAATCTCCCTTATTCATGGGTTAAACAAGGCTCATAGACCTTAAATCGATCCCCAGACATGATCTTTAAAACCACTCAAGATGAGCTCAAGGGTTACTTGTAGATACATATAAATAACGCACACCCAATCTCCAACTGGACCTTTCCCAAAAAGCTTATCAAAGCTTAGCAGATCTGCTCCTATCGAGAGTAGAACGGGTCAAAGTCCCCTTGATAAGGCCATTTGGCGCCGATTGTGGCAAATACACCTCTGCATCTTTGTCGGTGTTCCGAATCCCCTTGTGCCAGCTCAGGTCTATCGATGTACAAGGTTAGCTTGTCAAAAAGAAGCTGTCGAGACGCATCTAAAAAGTTGGGAAAGCCTACCTATCTCCACATAGTGCTTATTAGGCCAAGAGTACTCCACAGCATCAGCCAAAGGAACACAGTCCAGAAACTTCTCGGCCATCTTGTACAGAGTCGCCTGCGCACTCATACTATTATCTTCCGCGAACGCCTTGAAGGATGCATTTCTAGCACTCGCAAAGGCCTCAATAAAATGCGACACATTCGCTTCAACATCCGAGACATCTCCGAAATGCTTCCATCTCCACTTGATATCCACATCGCTGCTCAGAATGCGGTCCCATGTCTCAGGCAACGTCGTGTATTCGTCTTTGATGTAACCCCAGAACTCAGACCTGGTGCTCTTCAATACACTGAGGCCAAAAATAGCTGACGTGATATTGATGCCTGAAGCTTTGGAAACATCCACGCGGATCTGCCGTTTGACACTCCCATCTTGATAAAATGAATGCGGATGTGGCTCGTTCTCGATGGTCATTCGTTCCCAGGTATGGCAGGTTATGTCGATGTGGGCTGTGTGGATGTGCTTGTATTGAGTGATGAAGTGTTTGCTCAGAATGGAGCCGAACAGTTCCGGAGGGTGGACGGGGTTATGTTTGGCAACGATGTAGCATGTGTTCTTGATTGCATCGGTAGTGACAAGGACGCTGTTGTCTTCTTTGGTGTAACTTATCGCTTGATTGTTAGTCGGAATATCCGATATATTGTGATTGTCGCAAAAGAACCTCTCTTACGAAGTTTCTATGTCTCCTTCCAGCAAGACGCAGACTGTCAGTTCGTATACTGTTTGCACCCCCGTTCCTGCATCACGGTGGACTTTGTATAGTCGAACGTTGTCTTTCCCATATTGTGCATCGGATAGGTCGTACATGTTGCAGGTATAGATAGTGAAATCTCAAAGATGTTGGTTCCAATAATGTCAGGATATGTTTCGAGAGATAAACTTGAGAACCTTGATATAATAGCCCTGTGCCTCCTTGTTGTCTGTGCTGCATTCGGGCACCTCCGACTTCCGGAGGGGCCTGAACTCACGGATGATACCGCTATCTCGTCAATGAACTAGCTTAAGGGAGACCGGCGGATAAGGCATTATACAGGGGTACTGATAGCGATGCAATATGATGCGGCATTTTGAAGATCTATGATAAACATATTTATCCAGCAATTACAGTGCGTCTTGCATCAAGGCTTCTGGTCTTATATTCGTATATACTGGGTACAGGTACACAATTATTTCCGTTGGTTAGATTGCAGGTAAATGTCCGATTTCATGAACGAATCGATGAGCACTTTAACCATTTACGGAATTTTTTGGAAACCAAGAAAAGAAGAAAACAGCCGAAAGTCGTGATATTGTACTCCGATTACAAGGTATTTGGCAAGTTCCGCACGCATCCCACTGATACCTGTTCTTTCCTCTGCTTCCAACGGCGTTCCCGAGATTTCTAGATGCGCCGGTGCATGAAGCCATCGAAATAGGACGTCACGTCCTCAACATTATCCAAGCCAGTGACAAGTCCAATATAACCATCTGGTCTCACCACCACCAAGGCGCCAGAGTCTTCAGGGACACCAAGCTGATTTTGTGCAGCACCATCATAATCAGAGTATACGTTCATGGGCCATTTAGTGGAGAATGGAGAAGGGATATTCCCCAGTTGAACATCCAGGTGATTTTGTGAATGAATCAAGAAAAGATCAAGAACATATGCCTTGTTGGTGAACGGAACTGATGCCGTTGTAATGTCCTCATGACGGAATCGTTCCATGAGTTCCAGTGGCAGAAGATTGAACAGGCTCATTGGTGAGTGAGGTGAGTCCAAGGTATTTCCGAGCTTTTGAAGGGTCGGCGAAGATAGGTCATTGCCCGCAAAAATGAACAAATGGAATCGACCGTTGGATGGCATGATGTCCAGCATGCGGACATGATTGCCGTCGATGTGTCGGATCAGATCGATAGGTAAGAGACGTTTGCCCGGCGTGAGCGGTTCTGCTGCTTGGTTGTTGATTGATGTCCGGACATCGGGGTTAACAAGCAAGTTTGCAGGGTACTCATATCCACACCCGCTTGTGAAGCCATGTCCCATTTCCCATGTTTCGCGGAGATTCTGACTGTCAAGCTTATCTTTCTGTCCGAATTGACGGGCAAACAAGGCATCAAATTCAATGAGCTGTTGCGCAACCCAAAGTCTCTCTTGTTCGTATGTTTCGAGCAACGATGCTTTTGCGACACCCTTCATGACAAGTGCCAGCTTCCATGTGAGGTTGTATGCGTCTGAAATGCTGACATTCATCCCTTGTCCCGCCTTAGGACTATGTGTATGGCATGCATCTCCAAGAAGGAAAACTCGCTTGGTCGGATCACTGAAGTGGTGAACAACTCGCTGGGCAACACGGTACTGGCTGATCCAAACAATATCAGTAATATTCATCTTGTAAGGATGAATGACCTTGTTGATGTGCGACTGGACGGTCTGGGTGAGTTTGAAAGCGCTGTTTCCAGTGAGGGCATCTTGCCCAGAAGCTCCGTTTTCATCGAGATGCTCTTGGCTTTTCTCATCTACCTGGAGAAAAATCCGGAGTCCTTCATCCTTGCGAGGAATTAACATGCAACCACCATCAGGGGTTCGGATCGCGCAACGTCTTCTATAATCGGGAAAGTTCGTATCAACATAAACATCCGCCACAGCCCAAACGTCTTCACCACCCTGAGAGGATGATTGCACGCCGGTAGCCCGCCGTGTAGCGCTTCGCGCCCCGTCAGTACCCAGGATATACTTCGTCTGCCACGCTTCAATGGCCCCGCTAGCATTGTTTTTGATGTATGCTGTGAGTGGCCATTCGGGATCTAAGTCGTGCTCATAATGAACCAATTCCATGAACCGCTGTATCTTTTGCCCTTTGGTGTTCAGATACTGTTCAAATACGTCCTCCGTCATACCTTGGTCGGTGTTAAAGAGGTACTGGTAAGGTGTGGCTTTTTACAAAGTCAGCTAAGTCGGGTGTCACATAATCACCTCTCCTCATGATTAAGGACTCACCATGAACCACCTCAGCGCCCGTGAAGTTGCTGATTAGAGCGCCTGTGCTATCACGCATCCAAAAGGAGGTTTCGGTAAGGCGATGTCCTCTCTTGTCAAGATCATGAAGTAGATTCATCGTCTGCAGGATCTCTTGGGTTCGAGGTTGGAATGCTTTGCGAAACGATCAGCTTTCTCGTCAGATCAACAGAAGGGCATCTCATAGACGCACCACTTGCATGCCCAGTTTGTGTTCTCGTGGGTCTTTTATCAATCAGGCAAAAATCAATGCCGTATCTTTGCAAAGTTGCGGCGGCCATGCATCCAGCAGGGCCCGCGCCTACAATGAGAACATCCGTTCTCTGCGATTTGAAGGCGCCAACTGGATACGGTGCGATAGTCATGGTGAACAAAATGGGGGACGATGCTTTTTGGGTGTTCAAGTGAGAATGTTAATGATACTTGATGGCCTGGCATGAGGGGATAGATGTCGTGGACTTTCCATCTCCTTTATACGTCTACCAGTCCGCAGTTCGGCCCCAAGTGAAGCCTCATGATACAGCTCGAGTTGCAATCCCCTGAGTACGTCAACAGCATCTTTACCACGACAAACAATATGATCTCATCAGACTCATCCTTTCGCAAATGCCGAATTATCTCACTGATTTGCGCATACGCTAATGCACAATGCAACTGACACTCAACGAATCCAGGATCAGTATCCGGTTCAGATATCGAGCTGAAAGGGCCACTGTTTCAAACATGACCGTGCGCATAATCCTTTGGCATCATTGTTGAGCCGCTCAGCTGTAAACAAGGATGCTCGTTCGTATCTTACTACGGTGACGGACACTGCAGACCAAACATCCCGGGAATAGTGTCGATTTGCGAAGAGTAATTGGGTTTTGCAGCTGAAAATCCATGGCCACTCGTTGTTCAATGCACCCAATTGGGCGTTGAAGGAAGATGACTTGGATGGCCCGAGTGAGAGCCATGAGCAAGAAAGCCGAAGGATGCGAAGGAATCATGGGGGCGGCTTTGTTAGCCTTGAAGCCGACCGTCGGTTTATATGAAGCCAGACACACAATGTAACCTTGCTAGGCCATTCTCGGGGCCAGGCCCGACGATCGAATCCTTCAACTCAGCACGCATGCAGAATCAGCAAAAACATGAACAACGAGTGTCGACGTCTTTCGAAGCATAGCAAAAGTGTGCTGGCATGAAGAATCTAGTTCCTGGATGCGATGTGTATCCGAAATACATTTAAAATCCAGCCGAACAGAGTCTTGACCTAGCCCGATCATGAGGGCACCAGTTGCGGCTCTCCACCGACCCATGCCTAGTGGACGCCCTGGTTTCTATTCGGCATGATCCACGGCGGAAGCAGTGGGCCAGGATCTGACATCTGACTGTGTCCTGGTCCACCCCGCACGCCTTCCGTGAAGAATCGAGTAGTCAAGCATATTCAAGCACTCAACCGCTAGATCTGAGGCTGTCGGCGGTCGCCGGTCCCCGTATGACTGGAGAGGAGGCTTCGATCTTCGTTAACTAGGTCACACGATGGGAGTCAGAGAAGGAAGGATTTACAGGGCCGAAGACAGGATGCGGGAAGGGAGAGACCCCTCTGCCGGCCCGTTCAGGGTCTCAATGATCTTCCTCGCCAAATCCATCGTCACCTTCAGTGGTCAATAAAGGTTACTAAACTTCTACCTGCATGGGTAGTAGTCGCCAGCTATCGGCCAACTCCGTCATGTTACGAAATATCAAAGCGGCGACGGCCGAGGAGCCACAGATCAGCAGAAGACATGAATCAGGGTGGAAGGCTGAGCATGGAACGCGTCAGTGTCCCTACAGCCCAGAACAAGTCAGCTTGGTCGTCTAGACTTGAACCGATTGACAGGAGATATCTATTGCGGAAGAGATAACATTGCTAATGGTTCATGTTCTGGTTACCAAATCCATTCTTAGCGGTGGGGGCTGAAATGGAAGTTGTGGCAACAAACAGCTGGAACAACGATAAGGCCCACTCCGGTTCCAAGGCAATGTCTACGCAATATTCCCACTTCTATGCAGGAATCCAGAGACCGTTTGGAAGGAGTAGAAGAATAAGCTAGCAGCCAACATTCTAGCAACACTCGGCACACACCTCAAGCTCTACTAGTATCTCTCTCTGCCTCTGGTTCGACAAAAGCAGTTAGTTCAATGGGTGACCTTGAGCCAAACGGCAGAACATACAGGCACGCTGTTGCGACACTCTATGAATATTGGCTTAGTTTGGATGAGTAAATGAATTTGCGGCGAAGTGGATTCCACAACCATGCACGTCGTCACGAAGTGTATCCCATTAATAGTTGAAGTCTATCCTAAGAAACGATTTCTATTGAACCTTCCCTCTAGCATCCACGGACCAGATCTCCTCAATGACTCCACCCCGATGAGCATAATAAAAGTCATGCAAATTGATCGTTGGATCGATGTGACTCGGGACCATCTCCACCCTATCCCCGACCTTCAAATCCGGTGTCCCCTCGGTCCAACTCAACGCACCATGCTCATCTCCCAAGTTCTGATGCGCATACCTGGAATCCTTACACTCGGCCAACCCACTATCCGTAGTCAACGACTTCAACCCAGCATCAATCGTAACCTGCCTCTCCCCCTGCCGACTCACAACCGTAGACAATATCGTCAGACTGTTCGAGAAGCCTCTCCCAATCGCATTCCGGTAATCCGTATCCATGAAAATAAAAGACCCCGGTTGCAACTCCGTGACCCCAGGCACAGAAGCACAAAACTCCACTGTCCCGGTCCCACCTCCGGTGACCACATCAATCTGGAAGCCCTCCTTGCGCAGCGTCTCTGCCGTCTCGGTCAATATCTTCATCGACGCCAAACATTCCTGTCGTCTCTCTTCCCAACTATGAATATGTTGCACGTGTCCCTCATACCCCTGCACTCCGATCAACTTCAAATGCTTCAGCCCAGCCAGGTGTCTCGCCAGGGCCAGTGCCGCCTGCACATCAGCCACGCCCGTACGGTGCAACCCGACATCCAGATCGATCAACACCGCCAAGGGTGTTGTTATCCCCGCCTGCTCCAATGCCTCATCGATAGCCGTAGCCCCGACTTCACTATCCACCACGGTACGCAGTCGCCCGGGGTGTTTCCTAACCAGTTCAACGAGTCGCTGGACCTTCGGCGCGCCGATAATCTCGCACGTTATTAGGATATCGTCGAACCCGGCTGCCGTAATGGCTTCAGCTTCTGAGACCTTCGCAACACAGCAGCCTTTGGCGCCCGCGGCGACGAGCTTCTTTGCTAGGGCGGCGCACTTGGTGGTTTTGAGGTGCGGGCGGATGTTTAAGCCCGTGGGAAGGAGGGCGGAGAAGAGTTTCTGGATGTTGGATTCCATTAAGTCGAGATCGACGATCATTGAGGGGGTGTCGAGGCTCGAGAGCCGGTCACCGATTCGGGGAGTATACATGATTTGCCTTTGAAGAGGGAGGTAAGTAGCGGAGGGGTAAATGATGAGTTAGTCAATATACCGAGAAGGGGTAGAGGGAGGTTTTATAAGAGGGGATGGTGCCCCTCCTTGGCGTTGCATGTAAGGCCGTGCGCCTTGCAGATGGAGATAGGCCGAGATCCGAGTGCGATAAGCAGAACCATCCCTACTTATCTTCAATCCTCACCACCTTCGGGCATATTGAGTAATGAAATGATTGCTGACATGTCAGAGTATCAAATGCCTCTCTCCTTGGATCATTCAAGTCTACCTACCAACGGAGACTTGTTGGAAGGAAGAAAGAAGAACAAATATGCGGAGGATTTCTTTCCCCGCACGGAGGCGATCAATTTCCATTTCGGGACCAGCGCACACCCCTCACGTCTCTACCGAACAACCACTGACCGACATCTCCAGATCCTTCCCTACTCACGCCTGTCAAAGCTGTCACAGAACAAGGACATGCTCGGCAGCGTGAATTAATGCTACTGCCTTGAGGGTACCTAAATTTCCCTTCGTATTGAAAATCATGGGTCAGTATGCTGACTACTGTAACCAGCACCACCACCATCATCGCCACCATCAACGACAATAACAACCAGAGGCAAGGACAGTTGGAAAAAAATCTGGGATGCAATTGCGCCCTATATTATTTCCACCATGTTTTAGTCTTGCTGTTCAAGTCAATTTATATTCATACTACGCCATGGCATATTTAGGTTCCATTTGTGACGCTAGCTATGCCATCCACTGTATTGGTCATGCAGCCAGCTACTGCTCCCTACATGCTTGCTCCTGGAATTTATGTGGGTGACTTTTCAGGTAAAGCGGAACGGGGCGTGGCTGTATCTTCTATCTAGTATCGTCAAGATCTACTCCATAGCGTGAAGGCCTAGGTGTTCCTAATGTGTCCGGTTCAGGAGCAGGATCAAATTTGATTGGGCTTAACTACTGAGGAAGCCTATTTGTAGAGTATATTCAGCGATATGCTAAGTTGCCTGCGTCTCTTTGATTTTCTCGCCGTGTTGTCGATTGTTCTGTGTCTTTCCATCCCTATTCTGTTCTTTTCGACTTCGATGATTGCACACTTGTACTCTTGATCATACTGAGAGAATTTCAACTCATGTACAGGGATAGAAAAATTATGCATTTCCTTGGGTCGAGCGCCTTCAAGCCGAAAGATTCAGATAACAGGGAGTTCATAGATCCCTTGTTTAAGATAGAGTAGCACGACACTCGGAAGCCAGAGGAGACATGTTTCCGGACGCCTTCCCAACCCTACTTCAAGGGTGCTGTCTCTGCTACTGTGGTTGCCGTTGCCGTTGCTCCCCCTGTTGTTGTTGTTGCTGCTGCTGCTGCTGTTGTTGCTGTTCCTGTAGCTGCTGCTGTTGCTGTGGCTGGTGATGGTGGTGCTGGTTCTGCTGCTGCTGATGGTAATAATAATTAGTATAATGCCACCCAATATCTCAAGATAGAGAGAACTTACGTTGTGGAGGCGACCCTGGTGTCTCCCTCGTCGCATTGCCTGATCGTACAAGTCAATTCCACGCATCATATGCTTTCCTATATAGCTAACCTGCGCTCTCATTGGCCCCTATAAGAAGTGAGTATGCAACACTTCACATATATGTAATAAGAAGTTCGGACGAATCATACCAGCTCCAGCACCCCCAAGTATAAACGACACTCTGGGCGGTCGTGGCCCCGGATGCCACAAAACTCGCATTTATTGCGATGCTTTTCAATGTATTGATTAACATCTGGCATAACTCATCATTAGCAACTGATGGGTCCAAACACATACTCTTCTTTTCCCCCGACCACAACGTCCGCCACGGCCACGGCCACCACGCCCTCCGGAAGAGATGAGGGCTCCAGATGTGCAATCAGCTTGCATTGTAGTTCTTGGAGGCGATATTCCTGAGAGTATAAAGATCGAAGCGGTCCGAAATCTTGGTTGCTCCAACGGAGAAAGGTGGCGGATTTGAGACGTGATTGTGTGTGGGTAAACGAAAGCGAGGCACAACAACAGCCTCAACAGAGCAAACCATCCAAACCCAGTGATCACAAGTCTCGTCCACATTGGGTCTAGATCAACTACATCATCAAAGGGGTGGCCTTTACACATGGCCTACTGAGTGCCTAGTAGTATTGGTTGTATGCTTCGCAGTCAATTTTGGAATCAATATAGCTAATCTGCTATATTAAATCATTGTAATCAAAACGCTACCTACATTAGTAGTTAAGCACCGTTGAGGCTACGATTCGGCCTTTTTGTGCTGTGGCTTCAGGTTGGTGAAATGTGCTTTAAGTCTGATGCAACTGAACTACTCATGTAGACCATGGAAACTCCAACAGATTTAATCTGCAAGCCTGAAACCCGGCAAGGGTCATAAACAGACACCTTTAGTATAAGAACATGTCAGTACTACCTCATTATAATTGCGTGATGGCCAACATCATGTACGGCGCCTGCTGATGATCGGAATTGTAAGCATTGTCTCTCATCGAAAGCGAGGGGTGATTCATACTTAGTAAAATGCATGATAGTGACCGGTATATCCGAGATCAGATTAACCAAGCCAATAACACTCATTGGTGTGGATAAAGAAAGCATTGCTTGGTGGGCTTCGACTTTCTATGGGAGCGGTAGGTCCACGCCGATGGCCCGATCCCGTCCAGCACGTCCAGTCAGAGAGTCTACTAAGCGGCGTCAACTATCTATCCTGAGTTGCATAATGCCATCCAGGAATGACGACTTCAACAATTTCATCTGTCCACTCGGATGTGCGAAACTGCCGACCGTTATCGGCCATGTAAGGCGTGATCGCCTAGTGTCTCGCGTCATCTCAGTGCACCGCAGCGCATCTCATGCGGGGTTCAGCACAAGAAGTACAGCCCCTCCGAAGATTATAAATGCTATGCCCATCCTGACCAGTAGAGCCATATTATTGCATAGACTAGAGCTCATCTTTCATCATGCCTACAGAATTCATTAGCCTTACCTTCCCCAACGCCTCTACCGAGGTCGAGCCTATTCCCAACGCCCGTATTGACCCAGACTACCTCGTCCGCTATGCGCGGTCCCTAGACGACTATGGCTTCAACTACACCCTCGTGCCATACGATTCGTCCTACTTTGACCCCTTCACCATCGGGGCCACCATCGCGTCGGTGACCAAAAACCTCAAGATCATCATCGCCCTCCGCCCCAACACCCTCTACCCCACCGTCGCCGCCAAAGCCCTTGCCACCCTGGACCAGCTCAGTCGAGGACGCGCCGTTGTCCACCTCATCGCCGGCGGCAGCGATGCTGAGCAAGCCAAAGAAGGCGACTTCCTAACCAAATCTCAACGCTACGGCCGACTGGAAGATTACATCCGCATTCTCCGACGAGCCTGGGCATCCGAGAATCCTTTCGACTGGGAAAGCGAATACTACACCTTCAAGCAATTCAGCAACCGCGTCCGTCCAGCGAACCCCAACGGGACCATTCCCGTCTCCGTGGGTGGCTCCTCCGATGAAGCCTACCGCGTAGGCGGATCTCTGGCCGATATCTTCGGTCTCTGGGGCGAGCCTCTCAAGGAGACCAAGGAGCAGATCGATCGGATCTATGCGGAGGCCGAACGCGCCGGTCGTGCACCTAATGACCGCCCCCGTATCTGGGTGACTTTCCGACCTATTATTGCCGAGACGGATGGGCTGGCTTGGGCCAAGGCGTATCAGACGCTAGAGAAGTTGAAGGAGCATCGCGCGAATGGACAGGGTAAGGCGCCGGCTAATGCTCCGCCGCCGCAGAATGTCGGGTCCCAGCGACTGTTGGATATCGCGGCTCGTGGGGAGATCCAGGACCGCGCGCTCTGGTATCCCACTGTCACGGCGACAAATGCACGCGGGGCGTCCACGGCATTGGTGGGATCGCCGCAGACCATTTCGGACTCGATTCTGGATTATGTGGATCTGGGAGCCGATTTGATCTCTATTCGCGGGTATGACAATCTCAACGATGCGATTGACTATGGGCGGTATGTTCTGCCTAAGGTGCGTGGGGAGTTGAAGGCGAGGGAGAATGGGAACTGAGGATGCTGGATGATGTAATTAAGCTGCACTCTAAATAGTTTGAAGAGTTTGGATAGTGGCTGTCAGATAACGATAAAGTCGATAGAAATTGTTTGAAAGAGATCTTTTTTCCAGCCCCGCTAAAGCTGAATGCGTTTGTCAATAAGGCATACAGGTCATTGAACTGTAGTTGGCTACGGTGAGAAAATCCAGTAAGGAAAAGGAAAAGCAAATTAGCAAAGGCTTCAACAAAAGCAAACATATCCCTCTACATCCACAGAGAATACATGAATCCGATCAAGTCTATTTACCACGAGTTCCTCGAGTATTTTCAGATCAAGAACCAAGAAGAGAATAGGAATCAGGATCCATGATAAAGATAAAGAAAAGGACTACTATAGCCCCAAATATCCAAACTCACCACCTGAAAAGCAACGCCAAGAACTGCACCATGCAGCATCTTGAACATGATAAGCTTTACTCCAGCCCCCGAGCAGCAAATAACATCCAACCACGCGACCGTCTGTGATAGTTCATCTACCCGGTCCGCCCGATCGCTCCACCCAGCATTGCACCACCCATTCAAGCCACCTCTCCCCATCAAAACAGACCCATCATTCCTATCCTCCCAACCTCACCATCTCTACCAAGAAAAAGCCCTGCAAGAAAAGAGACCATGCGATCCCCAAGCGACCCTCTCCTCGCCTCCGAGTCCCAATCACTCCCTCCCGGCCAAATCTATCTGCCCGACGACGACGACGAAAACACACAATCCACAGAGCCCCTCATTGCACGCTGCCGCCGGTCGGCCCGCAACTATCTCTCCTCCCGATTCGGCCACTACCTGGTCCTCTTCCTCGTCTCTGTGGATGTTGCATGTGTTTTTGCCGATTTCTTGATTGAAATCCACGTCTGCGAGCTGGAGAAGAAGTACAAGCATGTGCCTTCTGGGTGGGAGGATGCGCAGGAGGCGCTGAGTATTACTGGGCTGGTGTTTTCGTGTCTGTTTATGCTTGAATTGGTGGTCGCTGTGGGGAGTTTCGGGATGAGGTAAGTCTTTCCATTACTGTCCCTTCATATTGTCCTTTTACAGAGCTGAATGCCTTACATTGTTCGCGGTGGGTGGACGGTAGTTCTCAGGGGCACCTAGCTAACGATATCATCCCAGCTACTTCTCCTCCAAGTTCCACATCTTCGATTCAGCGGTGATTATTGTCGCGTTCGCCATTGATGTGGCGATGAGAGGATTGGTTGAGGAACTGGGTTCCCTGGTTGTGGTTCTGCGATTGTGGCGCGTGTTTAAAATCATTGAGGAGCTGGAATCCGCTAATGCGGATTCTTTGGAGGAGTATGAGCGCGAGATTGATCGGTTGAAGGAGGAGAATTATCTCCTTCGTCGGAGAGCGGAGTTTGGAAGTGATGGGGTGAATTGAATTTGGATTCGTGGGTGTGCTATCTAGGTATATGTGGATAGGGTGTGGTGCAGGCTGGCTTGGGGACTGAGTGCATGATCTGGAGGTTTCTGTAAAGATGGTTGGTGACGTGTAACGGTGATAGGCATGACAAATTTCGGGTATATAGTCCTTTATATGGGTTGCATATCTATACTATCATGATGGGGCTTCGAGCATGACCTGTGATTTGAAGGCGATTCGACACCGGACTACTATTCCAAATTTGTGGCCTTTACTTCGAGGCTACGCGAGTAAGGCTGAGTTGCTGCAGGAAGCTTACAGCTTCTCCACCTCATCCTGCACGATTCTCCACCTGCACCCCGCGCTAGAGGTAGACACACGATCGCACCCTCACGTTTCTGGTAGAATGTCGTCAAGGGTCGACGTGGCGCTATGCCATATTTCTTTGTGAAGAGTTAGATATCTCAACAATTCAGCCATTCTCATCGATCTAAATACATCTATTCTACACGAAAGCGGCTGTATCCGATATTCGACAAGCAACTAAACATCTATACCATACTCATAATCAATCATACAGCCTCTAAACCACATTATAAGCCCACACCGGCTCTAGACGCGGCCGAAAACCTCATCAATAAACTCCAAACCCCTGTTATACGCCTCCACAGACCCCTTAGCCGGCTTCGGCGGAAATCCCTGGCTGAAATCCATTAATCCATGCGCACCCCCCTCAACAAGCAACAGCTCGGTCTTTACCCCCAACTTCTTCAGCTGCTCGTAATGATTGATGCTCTCCTTATCGGGTACCACATCATCCGCCGTCCCATGCACAAACACCGCAGGCGGATGCTCGCCTGTCACATGCAACTGCAAAAATGCCGGCTTCAAGTCCTCCGGGATAGCAGCCGCCCGCTGCGCATATTCCAGCTTATTGAGCTCCGCACCAAGCCCAGGCCGTCCCAAACACCCATCCAGGAACGTCCCGTCCAGTTCCCATCGAACCGTCAGCGCGAACCGGTTCGTCATCACACCCCCGTCTTCGGGCATGTCGTCACTGACGACGGTCTTATCGGCAAGTAACTTGGGAACTTCATCTAGGTTCACCCTGTTAGCGATGGAGGTGGGAGGACGGCCGGTTGTCCAGTGATCGAGGAGCCAGTCGCCAGCGCTGCCGAAACCGGTTAGCATGGCTGCGGGCTTGGGGGTGGCGTAAATGCAGGCAGCGCGGGCGGAGTATCCGCCTGCTGAGAAGCCGGTTACGGCGACGCGGGTGGTATCGAGCGATGTGCCTTCTGGGAGGGAGTTCTGGAAGTCTCCTGCTAGGAAGCGGAACATGGCTTTCGCGTCTTCAATCTGGTCGAGCGCTGTGGTGGGGTGGCAGAGACGGTAGTCGGCAGAGATGAAGATGTAGTTCTTTTGTTGGCAGTGGTCTGTGTATTTGGTTAGAAAGTCTGTTTGGCTGGATTGTTCGTTGATGAATTAGGTAGAAGGACGTACTGTATAGCCAGTGTGGAAATCCCATGCCCCGGCGGGAGCCGGCGGTCATGCCGCCACCGTGGTAGTAGATAATTGCGGGGAGGTTTCCGCTCGCATTGGGTGGTAGATAGTAGTCAAGCTTAACATCGTGGCCATCTACAGTGAAGTAGACGAGGGTCTTGCCTCCTTCGGGGAGATGTGGCGGCATGATTGCTGGTTGATGCGGGGTTGAAGTGTTTGGCGCAGGGACTATGATGGCCGTTAGAGATGCAGTAACTGAGTTAGATCCAACTGAACGTTGCCGGTAGATATGATTTGCCCTAAATCATAGATTCAGATATCGTCTTATGACAATCTGCCAATGGAGCTCAATTTGTATCCAGAATTAGGCAGCAGTGGAGGTTCGAGGTTCACCAAATATGATGTCGAGCCGGGTGAGGATATACCCGACAACCCCACCATGCCGGCAAGCCGAGATTCGGCAGTACCTCGGCACTGAGTCTATCGCGAATAGAGTTGGAGTTTTGAATACCAGGATGTGGTGTTTCTATTTATGGGGTCGGGCTTGAACAGTCGCCAAGGACTTAATGACATCACGCCCTACGGGCTAGAGTAATTCGTTCATGTTCAATATCCAGTTTATTATTGCAGGTTACAGGCACCATAAGCCATGCCTTTCTTCAGGGGGGAATAGCAGCGACGCTACAGATAGAGGCCTTACTGGTCGTATCCGTAGTCTTTTTACCTAGTGCAATCTTCCTCACTTTGCTTTATACAGGATTTTCTGCTTCTCACACAAATTTCTAGAGCTGGTTATATCTAGGTATGGAAGCTGCATCTAGCACTTCATATTATCTCCTACTGGATACTTGTAGTTTTCGATCTGAGACGTGCTCTGTTTTAGGTGCATGAATCCCTGTTTCGTAAGCTAAATTAAGGACAGACTAGACACAAAAGAACCAAAGACACAATTTCTGCGGAGACTGATTGCCATCATCCGAGTATCGGCCAAACCCAGACAAACAGTGACAAGAGGCAGAACAAGTCCGCATACAGAGCCAATCAAAAGAACGAAACAGGATCAAAATCAAGATCCGTGGCAACACAATTACTCCCGCGCCACGGTCTCAACGCTCAACTAGTGACAGTAGCCATTGGACATCTGGTATGCCTGCAGACAGCTATTGCATCCATTCTGGCGGCAGGTGTTCTGCGACGTACAACCGACATTCCTGCACATATCCTGGTTTGGCATTTGAGTGCCCGTTGGCAGGGACTGAGACACGGTGCTGGTCACCGTGGGCGGTAGCTGGTCAGAATCAGGATTGAGCAACTGGTCAAGGTCCGTGACGTCGCGGCCGTCAGCGTCCTGGAACACGCGTTGAAGACGGGCTGCATCCCGCTGTGGCAGGTTTTGGATGTACTGGCTGATTTGCTGCGGGCTCAGTTGCTGATAGGAGACGACCCGGTTGACTGCGTCGACGGATCTCAAAACGCCGTCGCTGCCGAGGTACAGGACTCCATTGGGGGACTGAGGGATGTTGTTGATGATGTCGGTGACATTCTGGGTGCTCTTTTGGTGGGTTAGTAGGTTCGATGTTAGTTTTTCTAGAACTGGATCTGCTTACGTCCGACGTGGTAGGTACGGCGGAAGCGAGAGCGAAAAGAACGCTCAGGACAGCTAGGATTTGAGTCTTCATCTTGTTGGAAATGATTTAAATGCTTTTTGGGTTTATCGGATGTCTTCTTTGCTCCTTGGCTGAGTGTGGTTGCTGGTGATGGTAGAGACATGGTAGGAGAGAAGCACGTATTTATATTCGATTGCTTCCTGTGAATGTGCAGTATGCCTTAATCATTTGTTTACTGTATACCAGGCTGCTCCGAAATATCCCGAGGTGTAAGGATTCAAGGCAGCACAAAGGGAATAACGGTGCTGCATGATGGACTGTGCGACTTCTGGGTAGCATTGCTGACGCCTGGATGATAGGGTGAGCAGGCAGTGTCATCGGCTTGCTATGAAAACGGGTTTTCATGTCGATAACTTAGACACTAACGGCAAACCTGTCGTCTGTCATATTTTGGGAAGGATTTCTGTAACGTCAGGTCGAGTTCCAGGAGCAATGCGTTTTACTGCAGGGCGTCCAGACGTTGAACACAATAAGACGTCCAAGGATTGATGTGCGACAACGAGGACAGACTGACAAACCGTGACACAAACCATGATAGGCTGCATCCTTTATTATCCCGTCGGTTAGAGTTATTATGTCAGAAGCTTCGTCAATCGTCCCTTAAGAGTCAGTCGTTTTGTGTATAGCTAGGCAGCGCTCAATTCGTAACGCCCCCATGGAGTGAGGCGATATCTCTACCCTGTGTTCCGAGGAAAAAGGCCTGGATCCTTTAGCTCATAGTATCCGGGTAATTTTGGAGATAATCAATTCAGGTTTGAGACGTATATACCATCTAAGCTGACATACCATTTGGCTTGACATATCACCAAACGCATCATACGTCCGCAAAATGTCATAAAATTCCCCATGATAGCCTCGCTTACGACGGTCCAAGACCCTTGAATTCTTAAAGATAGAAGGTTTTGTCTGTGATGTCGCTTACCCACAGCCCGATGGGGTTGGACTGACCATGACTGATGACGGCCTCCCGATCAAGGCAGGTGATGCCGGTCGCATCATCGCTCCCAGCTTGAAGGTTGCTCATTATTTTGACTATGTGCACTTTCCCTTCATATGGAGGCAAGTAGTGTGTAATGGCTTTACATGATAGACTGTCCCAAGATATCAGGGCTGAACATTCTAGGAACCTCGGCGAAACCGGTGATATTGAAATAATTCAGAATGTCAGAGATTCTCATGGTACATGTCACTTTGCAAGAGACTCCCTCGTATCTTTTTCTAAGTAGTATTCATGGGAACCCTCATCATGCTGCTCCTCCCGAAGTGGTTCAAAACTGATTCCCCCAAAGGGGTTGAACAGATCTTTATTATCGCGAGAAGCGGAGCAATCCCGTAACTCATACTGGCCCCGTAACAGCGCATCACGAATAGCTAGCTGATGCCTTCGAAATGGAATGGTACCGGTTTCCATTCCCGCCAATACATCGAAATGAAACTGACGATGTTCATATCTCAGTTGTTCGGCAAATGACTTCTGTTTCAAAGCGGGGACATGCGCGTAGAGATAGGATATTTGGCAAGCCAAAACAAGTGATAGCGTCTCATAATTGCTAGGACAATCTAGCCAGCTCTCGATCAGTGCATCCAGGAAACCTGCCAGTGGCGGAAATGGCACCTTGAGCGACGGCATGATGTCCAAAGGCACATATTCCAATCGAGTGTTGGGTGTTAGAGAAAACCTCCAGTCTGCCGCGGGAAGGAGGACAGTTCTCGTTTGGCCCTTCGGAGATATTAATCGCTGTTGAGGGAAGTCCACCAAGTCCACCTTTGCGTTCCCAATGAGATGTGGTATTTGCATATCGGAATGCCACCCGGCCTTAACCAGAAGATTTGCAGCCATAACAATATCCTTAACCAGGATATACAGATCAAATACAGCAGTAGGAACACCGTAATGAACAAGAGCGTCTTCAAACCAGATAGTGTGGGGAACTTGGTGTTCAATAAGCACTTGGCAGACACTGTATCTTATTTCGTCCCTCCTTCCTCCCGTGCCAAGGTGATAGTTGAGCCTAAATTCCATGATCCCAACACTATATGTAAGCATCAAAGACTGTAGCTGCAATCTGAGACTTGACGCAGCTAGCAGCCGCTACCTTGTCGGAGACTTGGATTACCTGAGTTGTTTAATCATGACGCTTTCTGGAGCCACTACTACGTACTCTGTAGGCACCAGTGCAATGGAAGGCTTCGGGCCATATGTTGATCCGGCCTTGACTGGATCGCCACCCCACCGACAATGTCTCCATACAACATCACTCTGCTCATTTTTTTCATTTGGAATTACGGGTAGCATAATCCGTTCGTGTGCTTCACGGTCTGTCAGCATCGCCCTCTTTCGGAGAGCCACAGTGTCGGGTATTTTCGACGTTCAACCCCGCACACTCGTTCGGCTGTACCCCGCTTTCATATCAGGTCCCCTTGAGCACTGCATCGTAACAGTAGCCTTGTATGCAGAAGCTACAAATAGACCGTTATTATCTTGCTTCCTAGGAGATAACACTCCAGTCCGATGCCACAAACGATTGTAGCTTTGATCCAATATCTCAATCATCGTTCTTCACGCGAAGTCCAGTGTCACCCCCATAGCACCATTTCAGTCCCTCACGATCGGCTTTGGCCATTCTCTGGCCTCGGACGTGAACGTCCCTTTCCTGGCGCTTTGTACTAAGCCTCCTTAGTTTGGCAAGTTTGAGGATCATTTAATTCTCATCTGGCTCGAATGATTACCTCTGATACACTAAGGAGATAGTACTATGGCGTTCCCCGGGCATTGTTTTGTTTTTCAAGGGGTGCAAATTCTCCCATCTCATAGTTACTTCTCTGATGCTGATAGCCTTTTGAGTGCTGGACTGTTTCTATCGTATTTCAAAGTGAGATGGCTTGCTTGAAGCTGGAGCGAATGGCGCTGCCGCAACCACTACGCAGTAGCCTTGCATATTCCAGGCAGCAGTTCAAGCTTATCACTAGACGCACACCCCTCACATATTCTATATAGTTCTGACATGGCAGAATGATTGTATCTTCTACTTGCTCAGTGTCCCTGAACTTGCACAACACGAGATATAAGTTCGGAAAGGTTAGTGACATACAGCAATTATCTCAAGTATATCCTACGCCAGCTACTACTGACTGGCCTCGTCTTTCAAGGCAAAACGGCATGACCTCTTCACACTTTCACACCCCGGCGGAAATACGCGCCGCTGCAATGGCAGTCGGAAACGCACTTGCTCAATTTGAAACCTACGCTCTTGTTGGTGGCAGCGCATGTGTGGTCCTGGGCTCTACACGGGCAACCCAAGACATAGACCTTGTTGTGCCACGGGGCGAAACCTCAGACGCAAGACAGCTGCTGCGTGCCTCTCCCGATTTCGAAGTTGAAGCAAGAACGAACCACACGACTTACAAGGCCCGAAGTCCAGTACAAGTCGAGATCCTCACCCCACCTCTTTTGTTCAAGGAACCCTTTGACGAAAATACTGAGGTAATCACAATTGAAGGAGTAAAAGTCTTGAAGCCAGCTTTGCTTCTTAATGCGAAATGTGGTTCAATTACGGGTCGGTCTACGGAAGACAAGAGGAGAACGGATTCTTTGGACATCAATTTTCTTCTCAATTTCTGTGCTCAAAATCCAGAATACCTTCCAGAGTCTGACGAAGTGCCAAGAGCAACAAAGCAACTTGTCCACGTTCTTATCCAGCTTTACGGAGGTGAAGAGGCTTGGGTTCGAGCTGGTTTTAGCTTGCGTACAGGGATCGATTATTTGGAGTCGTTAACAGAATCTTAGACCTGACGCATATTCAGTAGGTTGTTTTAAGAAAAATTGAACTATTTCTACGCCTGATGATTTCTGATCGATGTATACGAAGCCTCGGTACGGGGTATGATGTCCTATTCTATTGGCTTGCCTGGTCTGAATACTATGCCGAGCCTCGTGTCTGTGCCTTATGTTGCTCATGAGTTCTTTGCGCTGTCCTGGACCTCTAAGTATGGATTATGTCTAGCTGTTCCATATCCAAGGAGGTGAAAGAAGAGGTGTGCTATATCGACTTTTATCACATCATTCTTCTTCTTCTTTTCTATGCATTTTCCCTTCATAAATCCAGTCAAACTAATTAAATCATGAATTTCTCAATGATGAAGACGAAGAAAATCACATTTTCTTGAAGGCCACTAGAGCCCGCCGTACAGGGATCGTTATATCGGATGGTAGAACGAGGCGCTCTCACCGCATCTACCTTTCCCGTGGCGCAGGAACAATGAACTTGGAATATGCTGCATAGCTGCCAACATGGACGCGGCGCCAGATGTGTGCAGGGAACCGTTTTGTACTCGGATAATGTCACCAAGGGCATAACTGAGGCTCGTCGTCACCGCATGGGCATCTCCCAGAAATCTATTGTTCTTCATGATAAGTGTTTCGCGCCCATGAAGAAGAGCGAATGGGACACGGCTGTTGATCCCAAAATCTAATTTTTACTATGCTGGCAGCAAGTGCATCCTCCAGCAATGATCTACAATCTTCTATCACCAAGGCCAAGAGCGGCGCTGGTTAGCTGCGTCAGTCCGAGTCTGCTCAATATCTGGCTCGAGAGATTGAGAGGAAGGTGTGTGATTTTCTGTTAAAGCCAGAAGAAGAGTTGCAGACGTCGTCCTCTCTGTCAAACCTGGGATTGGATTCCCTTGTTGTGATTGAGTTCATTTCTCAGTCAAGGAGAACCTCCGTGTGAACATGGATATTGCTCTGACTAGTTTACACGAACAGGGGGTTCAACGCACATTGTGTATTTACTAATAGCTTCATATACCAACGATTCCGGGAATACACTATCAATTTGAAAGTTGTAGGTTGCCCCGGCAAAGCTCGTTAAGTGGCACCTCTGCTAGAGGGAGTGGCGCCTCAGCATAAAAGAATCCGCTGTTGGCACGTTGGCACCAACAGCTATCGTCTATCTTTACTATAAGCAGGTGGACATGGTGATGAGATTCGGGAAAGCTAATAGTTACTTTGCTAGCGTACCAAAGAGTGTTGGTTCATACTTCTATGGACTGTAAAAATTGGTATATCCTTCCCATGGAAAACAGCGCTCGGGGTTCGGGTGGGTGGCTGGTCCGCTCCGGTCGGAAGCTTTTCCTTGGGATGAAAGAGACAAATTCGGCCAAGCACAATTTCTTCTTCTTGTTGGTCATAAGAATAGTGATTGGCTTAGAAGCTATTCTGTGAATGGTTGTATAAGGCTGTCTGATCGAGAAAAACGGTTAAGAAATGAGAAAAAGAATGAGCGGCTCCGACTGGAAGGGAAAGTTCAACAAGAGTGGGGGGAAAAAAAAAGAAAAAGAAGGTTGGAGCTGCGGGGAATCGAACCCCGGACCTCTCCCATGCTAAGGGAATATTATACCACTAAACCACAGCCCCATTTCCTTGTTGAAGGACAGTGCGTCTTTTGGCTATATAATCCAATGCCAAAGAATTCTCCCATATAGAACGTGATCCACATAACAAATGTCGACTCTGCGTTCGTTCTCATCGTCTATGGCTTGTCTACAGTATGTTTATGCAAAACCACATGCAAGAAATATCAGCATCCAATTGCCAGCTTATCATCTTAGTTGGGTGTATCTGCGAACAGTTGATTTTCCTCAAGTACCACCGATGACCGCTGGGTTCACAGTTTAGTATATTTGCGGCGGCGGTCCATTAGTATATAGTATTGGATGTTGCCTCCGCGTAGTGAGTACAGTACTTTTTAAATTGCCATAAACTAATTCGGCCCAGTTATATTCTAGTATCACTTTGTCAACCTCTCCCCACGTAATGTTTCCTCTGTGACCTTTGCGGCTCTATCTTACACCTTTTACTTACTATCCCCCCCTGGCCTAGCTGAGATCATGCTTTCCTATTAGGGATCCGTTATCCCTGGCTTACTATATCAGGGGCTTCGGGTCCCTGATCTCTCGACAAATTGAACACTCTGCGGCACAAGAAGAGGATTCTTCTGGCGTCCTATGGCCAACTGATCCTGCTCTTCATCAGAACAAGTCCGAAAATTAACAGTTACCGTGCTCTCATTGTTGCCGCCCCCAGTCCGACCCGACAGCGATCCGTGTCTCCGAATACATCGTGTTATTCCTAATGTTAGGAAGGGACATGTTGTCCCTGGACTAGGTCGGGTTGTCCGTTATATTAGCGACCTCTTATGGTACTAGTACTGCTTCCACAGTGCGAATACACATGATCCGTGCTACGATCCCATTTGTGGCTGTTAATCCGTGATCTACAGTAAGCAATTCAAAAGCCTTCCACTACGTTGACCGCAAACGGAAAGTGCCGCATAGGCCGAGTACCAAGTTTGCTCGGCTTCACTGGTTACAAATCAGGTGATGTCGGACGCGACCGAGGCGTCGCCGCGTTGGACTTCACCAGCTCAATTCAGTCACTAGTCTAGTCCTTGGTAAATTCATTTGAAATGGTAGCAGTCCCTGTGTCATGATATCCAGTTTGTTTTCCCCACACTAACTGCTAGCACTAACCCTAGAGTACCTTAAATTTTGTCTCACTACTGTCGGATACCGACCGATCTTCAACTTGGATGATGCCGGGCGCCACAGCGTGCAAGGTTTTATGGCATCGCGGAGCAATCAACCGCCCTGAGCCCAGCACCTGAATCCTCTGTGCCGACCCCGGTGTCATCATACCACAGATAAATTTCATGCTAACAACAATCATTGAAAATACACAGCCGAAAGATGGCATACAAGTCATCCCGACCCCTCCTCCTGAGGTGAGACGCGAATCAAAATCAAACCCGACGAGGACTCCGGCTGCAAGCCCACCCTTGCGGTGGCAAGTGCAACGCTATTTCACCATCAAATACCGATCATGCCATACATGATGCTGCGAGGAGTCCGGAGCTTTCAGAGTGTGTTACCGGTGGTTCATCGGTCAAAGAACATATGACGAAAAGCAAAATGTACCGAAACGCGCGGGGAAGGCGTCGGACGTAGGCCAAGACCCCAGAGCCCCGAGCTTGGCGGACCGACCATGAACCGTGGATTTCAGGTGGCAGTCAAGCAGCTACCATTGGATTCTTCCAAGTCAACCTGTCATATATGCCGGGGTAATTTCCCATCTGAGTGATGACATAAGATTTGACTTTCCCCGGATCCCAACCATAGATTGACCGACCCTATCGAAGTGCTTACAACGTATCAAGATCGGCATTCAACCGGATTCACCGAAGCCCGAAGTTACAGTCTCGGTCTATGTCAGACATCAGTGGCTAATGCGGGGTCCCATGGGCCCGAATTCAGGACCACCACGTGAGCCGTTGAACATTATGCTGGGGTAACTCTTGTCCGAACAAAGTATTGGAGACGAGTCCCTTTTGGCCTGTCAGACAAGCAGACAAAGAAGAAAGGGAGTCCAGCCCAATTGATGACATCACGGAACCATCATGAGGGATTGCTAACGCTGCTCCCTTGGTATATATATTCGTGTCCTCAAGCCAGACTCTCACAGCTCAGTACCGCAGGGACACTGCCATCACGGTCTGCAAATCTGACGCGCACTTTATCTGACAAAGATGAGATTACCAAAAATTAAAATGCCTCGTAAGAGGCCGCAAGATGAACTCAATGGTGATGTGCTGCAGCAAGAGGCGCAAGCTACCGGCCCCAATGGCCAGAAATCTGAAGAGGGGATTGTGGATACACCTATCCCTCTGCTCACGTGGCGTTCTTTCTTAATGGGCATTTTCGTGTCAATGGGTGGTTTCCTCTTCGGCTACGACACTGGCCAAATTTCAGGCTTCTTGGAGATGCCGAACTTTCTCCAAAGATACGGACAACAGCAAGCTGACGGAACATACTATTTCTCCAATGCCCGTTCGGGTCTGATTGTCGCGCTGGTAAGACACGCATGGACAGTTTGACACTAGCTCAATCTTGCTGATAAGCGCAGCTTTCAATAGGTACCTTGATCGGCGCCCTTATTGCAGCTCCCATCGCAGATCGTGTTGGCCGGAAGTGGTCCATCAGCGGCTGGAGTGCCATGGTGTGTGTCGGTATCACCATACAAATATCTTCCCCTTTCGGAAAGTGGTACCAGGTAGCCATGGGTCGTTGGGTCGCTGGTCTCGGCGTTGGGGCTCTATCATTGCTTGTTCCCATGTACCAAGCGGAAACTGGACCAAGGCACATTCGTGGATCTCTTGTTAGGTATGCCTACAAACCTGCATTGTTCTTGATTGGAAGCTTACGTCAACAGCACTTATCAGCTTTTCATCACCCTTGGAATCTTCGTCGCCAACTGTATCAACTTCGGAACAGAAGCTCGAAATGATACAGGCTCCTGGCGTATTCCCATGGGCATCACCTACATCTGGGCCATGATCCTGGGCTTCGGAATTGCACTATTCCCCGAAAGTGCCCGGTACGACTATAGACATGGAAGGGAGGCGAAAGCAGCTCGTACCCTATCGAGAATGTACGGGATTCCTGAAAATCACCGTATGCTGAAGCTCGAGATCGGCGAGATCAGGCAGAAGTTCGTGGAAGAACAGGAACGCGGAGAGATAACCTGGTCTCATCTTTTCCATGCACCCCGCATGAAGTATCGCGTCGCAGTGGGAGTCGCCCTTCAAGCACTGCAACAGTTAACGGGAGCGAATTACTTTTTCTACTACGGGACGACGATCTTTCGAGGCGCCGGGATTTCAAATTCCTACGTAACACAAATGATTCTTGGCGGTGTGAATTTCGGAACGACATTCCTAGGGCTGTACCTGATCGAGAACTACGGTCGTCGTCGATCCCTGATAACAGGAGCATTGTGGATGTTTGTTTGTTTCATGGTTTTCGCCTCGGTGGGCCATTTCTCTCTAGACCATGAAAACCCAGAACGGACACACACAGCTGGCGTGGTCATGGTTGTTTTCGCCTGCCTTTTCATTCTCGGTATGTCAGTCGTTGCACATCCCCATTCTAATCCAAATACGTAGTCCCACTTGCTAACCGCCACAAAGGTTTCGCATCAACATGGGGTCCCATGGTGTGGACCATTATTGCAGAGCTGTATCCCTCCGAATTCCGTGCCCGCGCCATGTCTCTCGCCACAGCATCCAATTGGCTCTGGAACTTCCTTCTCGCCTTTTTTACCCCCTTCATCACCAGTGCCATTGACTTCCGCCTCGGCTACGTCTTTGCCGGCTGCCTCTTCCTTGCGGCGGGCCTGGTTTACGTGGCAGTCATTGAAGGTCGTGGCCGTACATTGGAAGAGATCGATACCATGTACGTTATGAAGGTGCCGCCCTGGAAGAGCTCCAAGTATGTATTTCCGGACATCGATCCATATGATCGTCGCGGTTCGATTTTATCGAAAGCAGGGGCATCTCATATTCCGCAGGTGAGCGGTGGAAACGAGACGCTCAGCCCCCACACAACTGAGGTGTAATTCTTGGGTTCTCCACCGGCTAGGAGTTATGCTTGGAGCTTCGAAGCTTTGGGAAGCCGGTAGTACACTTCCATAACTGACTCCCAGCAAATTCCATGATCACGAACAGGATATGCTGTCTCTTGGTGTCTACTGTGGCAGCTGCATTCTTGTACTACTTTCTGAGAGACGTTTTCTGTATACCTTTTAATCTCGTTATGTGTTACGACGCGACGTTTTGTACGTATGATTGATGAGTTACTGCTATGATTGTGATAATCCCTTGAATTTAGATGCAAGCTTAATCAACTTTATGCCACACAGAATATTTCCAAAAAGGTCTCAAAATCGCACACTGAACGAAACATGACAGAGAACCGTGATCTTGACACCTGTTCCCTATGAACCATATAGTCCTAGTACATAGTGAGTTCACCACTGGTGCATTAGTCTAGGCCCTGTGCATATAAAAGGAAGGACTCATCTACTCAGAAACGTTTTCAATTATAAAGCACTTTTTATGGTTACTCACCCAATCAGCGGTAGCATATCTAGAACGCCACTTTAAGGATGAGCTGCGACATCGGCATGTAGCACCCCACTTTTGGTTACCATGCGCATAGGAGCAGAACAGACTATGTACGGAGTACACCATAGTCTAGAATCTCAGTAGAGAAACTGCTGTTGCAAAAGGACCAATCGAATCCATACCGAATAGGGCAGCTGAATGAAATGTGTTGTGCCTGCGAGCCAATCTGTGCTTGCTTTGGTTATGTACTAGCATAGCCCTACAGAAATAGGAAATAGGTGTGCGGTAGGATGCGAGCATGGTTAGATATCTGCATTTCTTGTGTTTCTTTAATCCTCTTCCGGTGTTGCATTGCTAACCACCCGACTTTTATAAGAGCTAGTATGGCGAACTAAGAAATCATGCTTCCACTGTCATACCCTAGTCTGGCCACCTCTATACAATAATACATGATTCACACCTCTCATCGCACAGAAAAGAGTGAAGACCACTGATAGCTCTACTCATCCTTCAGACCGAGCAGCTCCAAACTCAGTTTCCAGAACTTCCTCTCTCCGTCCACATCATACGCCCAAGCAGCGTACCCCGGACCCCAGGTGCCACTACTCGGGTCATATGGCTCAGCAATCTGACAATTGTCCAAGTACTTCCCTCCCTGGCCCTCGAGCTCTTTGGCCACAGCCGCCAGCACAGTCGTAGCAGCGCCCTGTTCCGGACTCTTAAAGGTCTTCATCAATGCTTCATCTTGACCCCATGCAGCCTGCTGCTCCTGCGAAATATGACGCTGGAGATCCGTATTGATGCCACCCGGATGCAAACTGAAAGCATGGAGGCCCTGATCACCATACCGTCTTTCGATCTCATTAGCAGCCCAGATCCCAGCGGTCTTGCTCTGGCCATATGCCTTCCACGGCTCGTATTCACCCTCGAGACTGATGTTGTCGAGGTGAACGCTTGAAATTCTGTGAGTAGCGGAGGAGAGAATCACGACACGGGAGTTAAATTCGGGTGTTGATGAAGCCAAGAGGGTAGGTTTCAGAAGGGTAAAGAGAAGGAAGTGCGCGAGGTGGTTGCTTCCGATTTGAGTCTCGAAGCCATCTGCTGTCCGGCCTTCCGGGCAGGCCATGACGCCGGCGTTTTCAATTAGAATGTTAAGCTTTTTGCTCTTGGAGTTGAATTCTTCGGCGCAGGCGCGCACAGAGTCAAGCGAGTTCAGGTCTAAGTGGAGGAAATGAACTCGGGGACTGTTGGCCAGGTCACCAAGGTTGGCCTCTGCTTTTTTGACATCGCGGACGGTTAGGTAGAGGGTTGCGCCGGTGAGGTGGAGTGCGCGCGCGGTCTCGACACCTAGCCCCGAGGAGCAGCCCGTGATCAGGATGGTCTTGTCGGAGAGCTTGTCTTCGAGGTTTTGATCTCTGATGATTTGGGAGGCGGTAGGACGGGCGTCACCGGGTCCTTGGGGGGATTTGTGGGCCGCGGCGTATTTGGAAGCCATTATCCTGGTGTTAGGGTGGGAGTGGATAATATGAGTGGATAGTTGATGCTGTCAAACTGTTGATGCTAGATAAGTGAGGGAGGTCACCGCGCAGTATTAATATGCTTTCCTTCTCGGGGATATGGCAAGGGTTATACCTGATGACATCAATGAACCAGAGACTTTCTCTCTCCAAGTCCGACTAGGCCCCGAATGGGGCATGAATTGTGGACTGATTATAGTCGGCCATACTCAAAACAATCTTAATGACATTCATATTGGACCCACACTTGTTTGCATGGCGATATTCTGCCCCCTTGTGCAATAGCACTAAAGCTAGAAGTGCTCACTGTATTATAGTGCTGACACGGGGGAATGCAGCAATGTCCGAAGTGGATCAGTTCAACCTGTTGCTGACCAGGTCCCCTCGAACTTTCTAAGAGCCTTTGAAGCACCTAGTATGGATGTGTTGGCAAAGGAGAGGGAGTAGTATTGCCAATTAGCCAATCGTCGAGTGGGTCCAGGGGTCTGTCAGCTTGTGCGCGATCTAATGTGGGTTATCGGGTTATCATGGGAAATCGGACATAACGGTGTTAAGGCACGGATCAGACCGTGGTTCAATGTCAGCTCGCTAAATTATGCCTCACCAGTTCAACAACCATGGAAGCTGCCAAGTGCAACTTTAATTGCATGTCGCACCTCTGGAAATCTGGAATGATGTAACCTCAGGCAGTGTCGATCCCGGAAGTGTGCCACTAAGGGTTCATATCCACTTAGATAAATATCCTTTGGTGCGGGGTGTACGTAAGAGCTGTTTTTGATGCGGGCAACGCTGGCGGATAATTACCCGAGGCTGGCACGATCTATGAGAAACAAAAAAGTCTGAAAAGTTGGTACTTCGAAAATGTGGTTTTTCTGCATATCCACCAACAAAGTTATAAACTATCCTGAATTGATCTCAATAAATAAATATCGTCTATCAATACTCAGCTCAAATACTAATATTCGTTTTTTTTTTTTTTTTTTTTTTTTTTTTTTTTTTTTTTTTTTTTTTTTTTTTTTTTTTCTTTTTCATAGCCAATAAGAATACTAGTTACCTTCACAAACAAAAACCATGTACTTAAACACCATCGTGCCCCCACTGCTACACATATATCCAGGTCTGGAGGTGCTGCCGCCGAATTTTCCTTGTTTGCAGCAAGGGGGACATATCTGCAGGAATTGAGAGATATCTGCAGTGGATGCTGGTAGCACCCTCGAGAACAGGAGCGACGTTCAAGGCGCGAAGCTCTTTTACTTGAAATTCCGGTGCCAAGGGATTTATTAAATGCCTCGCGCGGAAGTCTGATAACAGCCAATCAACGATGGGGAAATGCCGGCTCCCAAGGCTTCCGAATGACTCACATATTCCAATCCGCCCTACAATATCCACATATAAGCAAGTGTTTGATAGAACCCATCTTGAGTGATCTGGTCTCAAAGAAGACCTTCACTACGACTACCGAGCGTCCCATCGAAGTATTTTACATTCTCATCTAACGTAAACCACACCCAATCGGGACTGTACCACTCCAGAAAGCTTGTTAGGTGCAGGCGCTTTTCCAAATGTCCTCAGAGTATGACGTTCTCGTCACTGGCTCAGCTGGTCATTTGGGTACAGCTTTAATGCTTTGCCTACCTTCGATGGGCTACAACCCTTTCGGCATCGACATTCTCTCCTCTCCGACGACGACAGCCGTGGGCTCTGTCTGCGATCGCACTTTCATTGCATCTATTTTCCGCAACAACCCCATTAAGCATGTCCTCCATACGGCAACATTGCATAAGCCGCACATATGCAGCCATACCAAGGAGGAGTTCATCTCAACCAACGTTGCGGGCACTCTGATCCTTCTTGAAGAATCTTCCGAGTTCAAGGATAGGATCGAGAGCTTCATCTTTTTCAGTACAACCAGCGCCTTTGGTAGGGCCTTAAACCCGAAGCCCGGCTTCCCTGCCGCTTGGATCGATGAGTCTGTCGTACCCGAGCCAAAGAATATCTATGGCGTGACGAAAGTTGCAGCCGAGGATATGTGCGCGCTGGTACAAAAGGAAAGCGGAATGCCTGTCCTAGTTCTTCGAACAAGTCGCTTTTTCCCAGAGGAAGACGACGATGAAGACCGTCGTACGGCCATGAGCGATGAAAATTTGAAGGTTCTGGAACTAGCCTACCGCAGATGCGACATTGAAGATATTGTCAGCGCGTCGGTTTGCTCAATGAGAAAGGCCAAGGATATCCGGTGGGGAAAGTATATTATAAGCGCTCCGCCCCCTTTCAGCAACGACGGAAGCACACTCGATGCTTTAGATCGGAATCCCGCTGGGGTGATTGCCAAAGCTTTTCCCGAAGTCGATGCTATTTTCAAGAAGAAAGGGTGGAAGCATCTTACGAGGATTGATCGAGTCTATGATTCCAGCAAGGCTGTGAAAGAGTTGGGGTGGAGTCCGAGATATACATTTGAAAAAACGATGGAGAGGCTGGCGCGCGACGAGCAGTGGAGGAGTGACCTAACTGCTAGGGTGGGCAAGAAAGGTTATCACGCTGTGAGCACTGGGGTGTATACCAAGCGATGAGGAAAGTAAGAATACGAAATGTATGCGGTAATTTTGCTAGTGGCTCGTGATGAGTGGAGGATGTAAATGGTATATGCAGTAAGACTGCTTGGTTGAGAGTAGTAGTTCCCAAAAAACGTCGCATAGAGAGCGAGCAAGTTTATTCACCATGCTTTGTAAAATAGCTGAAAGGCTAAATTACCCTGGTCCTGTACAACCATCTTTTCCAAAAGGACAGCTCGAATCATCTTTGAAACACGCAGCATGACACGAACGAGGTTGCGAGATTAGTGGGGGATTACGGCAAAGACAGAGACGGGGATTCATGCTTATCAGCGTGATTAGACACAAGGCGGCAAAACGTCATGCGACGCCATTGTATGCAAGATAACACCAACAGTAAACGTGGATAGCTCAGGACCAAACAGAGCCGCGACTATTAATATCTCCATCAGCCACCGGCGAACTCGGCGGACAGGAAACGTGGCTGATAGGAAGAACATACTATTCGGCAAAAGGGTGATCATTGGATGACACGGAATCCTTCGAAGGGGACAGTGCACAGATTGTCAGAAGCAGAACAGGAGCAAGATATGTATATTCTCTCAGGAATGGACACAGAGTAAGCTGATTATATTTTAGGCAGTCAGCGCTAAGCTACGACCGGCAGTCAATCCTGCAGAAGTAAGCAGTGGTGCTAGATTAGGCGTCCCGCTTACCGAGACATTGGCTATAAGCTCTTTTTAATCAGACTCCGGACAAGCTTTATGAATGCTTCTATTGTGATTATGATTGGGGCTGTCAGACAATTTTAGACTGGCTAAGCGTGCTCAAACAACGACTTGGCTGACAGCCCAGAAACTACTCATTGGAGCTCTATATAAAGCTGCTTGGCATAATGACACTCCCTGTCCAAAATAACGGAGCAGCAAATCTCGCAAGTGCATTATATATATACTATCACAATTACACCTGACCCAATCATATAATTTCTACAGAATGCAAACGTAAGAATGCCTCTCACTCGTGTGAACAAGTTCGTATGCTGAATGGCGATCGTGCAGACTCAAATTCCAAGCATCAACCCTGATACCCCTACTCAGCAATGAGGCTGAATTAACATATCATCTCCTAAAATCTAACCTTGGGGCTGGAGTCCTTCTATACCTATCGGCCGCTTGCATTCGGCTACTACCGCCACCAGACTTGTCAGCGTTCACCGTCTTCACCAAAATCTTCTGTATCTCAGTTAGCCACCAATACTGCTGGGACATAGTTAACCAGCTTACCTCTGTTGACGAAGACCGCATCAATAAGCCAGAAAGACCAATCCCAGCCGGCCGTCTGACCGTTACTGGAGCAAAATGGAGGTGGCTTATCAGCTGGACTGTCTCTCCTGCTATCTGCTACACCATTCTTGGCGGCGGAGCCTTGATCATATTTATCTTGTCTGAGGCATTGATCTACATATGCTACGTATGGCCCAGGCTTGATCACTGGACATCTCGCAACACTTTCCCAGCCCTTTGGACATTCCTTTCATTCCGCCTTTTGAACTGCGTTGTCTGCGAAACATACCCACAACTGTCGGCACAGCCAATGGTGGATGTGATTCTCTCGCTATGGGTTCTCGGAACTATTCACATTCAGGAATTCCATGATGTCGATGGCGATCGGAAAATGAGGCGCAAGACACTTCCTGTGATTTTTTCAGATGCATCCTCCATGAAGATGCTGAGGGGCATCACGGCTGGTTTGATTGCTGTTAATGGATTACTTGTGATCCTTTGGGGATGGATAAAGTGCCTTACGTCATTCGACTTGATGAGTGCTGGCCTGGTGCTTACGGGGATGTTCCATGTTCTTGGAGCGCTCGCTGTTGGTGTTCGTTGTGTTTATGGGAAGTCGGCAGATATGGATGAGAGGACGTATAAAGTGTACTATATATTGACTGCGTACTGGCTTGTGTACTTCTTGTCGTTGGTTAATATGTCAATTACGAAGAATGAGGTGGTGAGGAACAAATGATGAAGGAAGGGAAATGATTGATATAGATATGATATTCGCAGTGGTGCCCGCACTGATTTTCCCTTCATGATAAAGACCAAAAATATGGCATATTGGTACTATTTCGAAGGCCAATTATATGCGAAGCGTGCGCGGATGTGGAATGGGAGGGGGAGAGTGTGGGAGGGTACGTGAAATGCTACACTATACCTTGGATGAGGAATTTGAGCTGATTTAAAACATTGATCGGGAAAACGTCCTTGACCGTTAATCATCGATAAACCTCCGATGTCACTCCACTGTATTGCGAAACCCAGCCTCCAAGTCTTGAGTTAAGGCTGAATGTACCTACTGGCCCAGCCCTACCCAATCACAACGTTGGTGGGGAGTGATAAGGAGGAAAAGAAAATCATTCTTTTACTTGAAGTATCACTCCATCTGCCCACCTCAGCTTGTATTGTAAGTTCTTGGTCTGTCCTGATCCCCGTCAGTCGCCTCAAGAATCATTGAAAAATTGTTGTTTCACGTGGCTTCTACTTCCCCGCATTGCAGCTGTCTAGCGACGGATAGAACAAGCTGGCCTCTCTGAAAGAAACCGCAACTAAACTAACGGGATTACTGCCGGCCATGTAGCCGAGGATATAGAGTTGCGCTACTGCCCCCCGCATGCGGATCCCAACCTTTATCAGTGGCCACTACTACCGAGTGCACTGATATCCCATCCACGCGCTATCCAATCGTCGGTCTTTTCCGCTTATCGAACCCCTCCCCGTCGGGTTCGCGCTGATAACTCCTTCGACGTACTCCTCCCCGTCGCTTCTGTTCTCCCCTCCAAGATGCTTCGGTATCATGGCTGCTTCTGGTCGCGTCTGCGCCCGGTGCGCAGTGATTGTAACTCCTGACCTCTCATTCGAGGACTGATCACTATACTGACTTCGGATAGAAACAACGCTGTGACGGCGCCTCGCCCTGCTCTCGTTGCGCACGTATGCTTTACGCTTCTACTTCTCTGGGTGGTAATATATGCTGACCAACTAGGTCTGGGCCACATCTGTGAGCCTCAACAGCCCGGAAGACCTGCATCTGAGGTCCCTTCGCTAGCTTATCGCAGACCTAGGGCTTCCCGATCGCGCGGTGGATGTACCTCCTGCAAGGCGCGGTAAAGGACACCTATGAGACCCCCAATACTACTGCATTGCACCGTCTGACAGCTAATAGAAAGAAGAAGTGTGATGAGAGCCGACCTCGATGTAGTGACTGTCGTCGCTTAAACTTACCATGCCACTGGAATAATCCAAGGGAGCGATCTCCATCGCCAGCCCTCGCCTCTCCGCAGCCGTCGCCTACGTCTCCCTCTTCCGAACCTGCTCATGGAACTATCCTATCTTCCGTTTCGGATCTAGTCCCAGAGCTTGATCCGATATCCCCTTCCGAGAACATATTATCATCCGTTAGTGATGATCCGCTATCTCCATTCTCGCCTCTTTGGCTCGATGTGGAGATGATCCTCGGACCCATTCAGTCCCCAGATGGCGCTTTCAACCCCTATCTCCACAATGACGACGACCGTAGCCTATTCAATCACTATGTACATATCGTTTCACGAGCTCTATCACGTTCCACGACTACTGAATCCAACAACCCATTTCTAGCGACTCTGCTTCCCATGGCCGCCGCATCGGAGACGCTAACCAGCGTCATACTGGGCCTTAGTGGCTGCCACTGGCGGCGCATCTATCCTCAAATATGGGACCGTGCCCTGGCGCGTCAGGGACGAGGTACGTAATTCAACAAGCGACATAGCTTGACTAAACCCTGCTAACCCCAACAGCCTTGGCACAGGTGAGCAACCTACTCCGTCGGCCGAACCAAAGTCGCCAATCTTTCCTCGAGGCCTGCGCCACAATTTTCCTCCTCTGCCTCACAGAGCTATTCGAGGGCACCTCTCGTGTCTGGAAATGGCATCTCAAAGCCGCAGGAAATCTTCTCAGTACTGCGGCAGGTACCACAGATCGCCACTGCCTCGCATCAACCCCTGAAGGGACCTTTTGTCTCCAACTCTTCCACTACCTTGACGCCATGTCCACCATATCGAGATGTAAACCCCCGTTGTTACGTGCAGGTGAGCGACTTACGGACCTTACCTCATCAACTTCCTGCTCTTCCCTCCCAGTACCCCTCGGCGACAATTCTATCTCCGGGATCCCTCCACCCCTACTAGAATATCTCGGCCGGGTCAACCTCCTCGCCGCCCACCGCAGCCGACGTGTCGATGACCTCTCCGAAATCGGGTTCCGAACAGCCGCTGCGCACGTGCGCGCACAACTTGATACCTGGCGCCTTGAGTACGAGGCAACCAGCACTGCTCTGACGAACAGTGATGTGGACAGAGCAACAACAGCTTTCGAATGGGCCGTCCGATTACGACTACATCAGATCGTGGACGGATATGATCCGCACCATGCGGACGTCGAGAATGCCCTCTCTCGTATTGTGACGGCCGTGTTGGCGATCCCTTATGGTAGTCCCGTGGAAGGTACTCTGTTGTTTCCGTTGGTGATTGCTGGCGCCAGCTGTAGGGATAATATGGAGCGCAGGATGGTTGTTAAGGAACGGTTGATGGTGATGGAGAATACGTTGGGGTTTGGGCATATTTCGCATGCGAGACGGTTGCTAGAGACGGTTTGGGCTGATGAAGGAGGGGATGGGAATTGGGCGAGAATTAGGTATAGTATGTTTCCGGGGGTGGTGTTTGTTTAGTAGCTGTCTAGTAGGTAGGGCTTCTGTGACGTACCGTTTGCGTGTATATAGCTGTTGAAATTCGCATTACTAAATATTGGTGTGATTCCACTCTGTGGCTGATCGGATCTAGTTGCTTTGTTCGCATCTTTAGAATTTACTTCTACAGGAAAAATCTGTGTTGCCGTGATGTAGTCTTCTAAGGCTTGACGACTAGTAGTTATGGAAACAATGGCAAAGGTCCGATTTCTGCCATAACTATCCATTAACAGACACGAAAGTAACGGTTCATCATCAGCATGAACATCAAGCATTAAGCCTCTCAGCCCAATCCCATGAAGATCACATCATTCATAATTAAATCATCCAACCCAAGCCAACTCCATTATTGAACCAACCTAATACAAGAGCGGCACATTATCCTGCTCTCTGCGGCCAGTCATCGATTCCGTCCGCTTATGGCTTGTAAACCACTTTTCGATCACAAATGGCCATGTGAACTCATCAGTCAATGCTGCTGTCTCCACTCAAAGTAGATTACACCAATCGATGGGGTTTAAGTTCAAATTGCATGTTGAAATTATCTATGTTTTACTAAGTCATTGCTAAAGGATACAAGGTGTTGAGTAGTAGAGTTATCATCAAGTAGTGGCATGGCGTACATTCTGACGGGGTCGATCTCAATAATTCTTCGGGTGTACCTGTGTGCGTACACAGGTTTATATGGGTCTACAGGTACCTGTGGGGATTGATGGTCATTTAGATCCTATACCTTGGCAGCACTGAGAACAGCATTATGTTGCTAATAATTTCCTTACAAGAAATCACTTATATACAAAAAATCTCCCAAACACCATATCTACTATCTACTGGGCTTTCAATTCTTCCAGATGTGTTCGCATATTGTACCCACATACCTCTTCGATGGTCAACTTCCCCGGCCGATCCGTGGACGAGCTCCATCCAATGCGCTCGCTGAGGTCCTCGCGTGCACGAAAACTGGCCTCTTGTATCTTCGTGGCTCGTGGCTTCCGTAGCCGCTCGTATAGCTGTAGGCCCTCTGCGACACTGTACTCTTCCCGGAACGTGCGGTGGAAGATCAATCCTAGCGCGCCGGCGTCCTCAAAGGCCATACACGAACCCTGCGACTGATCGGGCATCATCGGATGGGCGGCATCACCTAGCAGGCATACTTTGCCTTTGGCCCAGTAGGGGTATGGTTGGTGACGGTACACTGTCGGTTATTAGCAGAGAGATTCAAACACAGGAGAGGGGTCCCTACAGCGCCACATCTTAATGTCCTCAGCGTTCATCATCAACAATTTCATGCGTTCATCCAGTCCCGGAAAGGTATCGACCAGCTGCTCCGGAGTCGCCGAGATATTCCAGCCATCGTCACGCAAATTGTTGTACTCCGCCGGATAGAAGCAGTAGCAGCTCACGACATCCCCGTTACTGCAGGGTGACATTACAATTTTGTTGATCCCAAATCCACCCCAGTATTCTATTGCCTCATTGTCGATGTAGTCGTCTAGCCCGAGGCTGCGGAGCTTCTCGGCGCTAATGATGCAGCGGTAGCAGCATGAAGTTGACATGGTGAACTCGGGAGTGATTCCCATATCAAGGCGGCTTTGAGACTGCATTATGTTGTTAGTTCATCTCTTCTCATATCTCATGGCAATCGATAAAGACGATAGGAATACTAACGCGAATGCCATCCGCGGCGATGATGAGGTCTGCTGACGCCGTCTCACCATTGTCGAACACAATGCGACCGGCCTCTGCATCTAGCGACACGGCCTTGTGATTCACTTTCAATGTGCAGGGAGTGCCTTCGCCTGGCTCTTCAAAAGCAGACTTAAGTAATTGTTGGTGGATGTCAATGCGATGAAAGTTGTTGTATTCCTGAGCAAAGTCGTCCACGTCAATGACAGATTCTGAAGTGACAATTGATTTCCAGACTGACCGTCCCAAATTTGGCCTTATAGTCCCCAAGACCATATTCGCTCTGTATTGCCCCAGACTCCCATTCATGCATAATGAGCTTCTTCAAAACCACCGGTTTGGCAGCCTTGACGTCGACACCCCATTGCTCCAGAAACCGGGATCCATTGGAAGCTGCGCTCAAGGAAGCACCCACTTCGCCAGCAAAATCATATCGCTCATAGACGGTGATTCGATGACCTTGGCGACGTAAAGCCACGGCTGCACTCAGGCCGCCTAGACCGGCGCCGATGACGGCGATATCGAGGGGAGAGTCGGTGCGCGAGGGCATTCTGTACGGCTTGACGAGTTAATAATCAATGTAGTTAGGCTTTCTCTGCGTCTCGTCATAATGTTCGAAGTTATATTTATATACTCATCCGGCCCTTTCTTCTGGTCTATGGTGTTCGGACACACTTCCGATCCACTTATCGTGCATCCGACGGGGCTCGTATCTATGCGACGGGTGCAGCAGTAGCGCAGCTTATCGCACCGATCGCCCCAGCCAGTGATAGCGGATATTGTAATCCTCACTATGTACAGGAACAACCTCTTTAAGACAGTCCATCATGCCATTCCGACGCTTCTCGACGGTCTTCTGCTGGAACATGCCACCCCTGCTGCACATACACCATGACTGATACCAAAGAGGAAAAGCTGGCCGCTATCGACTATGGCCTTGGCGATCTGCACGACGATTCGGTGCTGTTGCGTCGGATCGATTGGCGCATATTGCCTATTATGTTTTTGACGTACTTTTTGCAGTTTCTCGATAAGGTGGCTTTGAATGTATGTCCTGATACTCACCTAATGATTTGCATGAATGAGGCTGATGCTGATGGCGACAGTACGCAAATGTGATGGGCATGCAAGACGATCTCGGTATGAAGGGTAATGACTTCTCCTGGCTGGCTACAGGATTCTTCATCGCTTATGCTGTGGCTGAGATCCCTCAGGGTATGCTTTCATTCATTCCTCCGCCAGGCTCATATCACTGATCATAGGTAGGGTTCTTACTCCAACGATATCCCATCACCAAGGTCCTCGGAGCCAACATCCTCTGCTGGGGAGTACTCCTCTGCTGCTCTGCCGCAGCCCAGAATTTTGCAGGAATGATGTCGCTACGAGTGCTTCTTGGCACATTAGAAGCTGTGATTGGTGCGAGCAATCTACCTATCTACAATATCCCATCGCTAATATTTCACAATACAGCCCCCGCTTTAACAATGTACACAAGCATGTGGTATACGCGGGCCGAATCCACCCCTCGCTACGGCCTCTGGTACTGCGGACTCGGCACCGGGCAGATCATCGGCGGATTGATATCCTTCGCAGCACAGCATGCCCCAGCAACGTTATCATTTCACGGATGGCGGATCATGTTCGTAGTAATTGGGGCAGTAAACGTGCTTGTGGCACTGCTCGTGCTGTTTATTCTGCCCGCCACACCATCTGAAGCACGCTTCCTGAGCATATCCGAGAAGACTCGCGTGGAGGAGCGCCTCCGACAAGACCAAGCCGGCGTGGGCGAGAAAATCTTCCGTGCGATATCGCTCCTCGAAGCATTTGCAGATTTGCAGACCGCGCTTTTGGTGCTTCTAACTATTTTAATTACCATTCCCAGTGGGGTTATCACGACGTTCTCATCTATTCTGATTAAGGACTTTGGATATGACTCAAAGGAGAGTGCGTTGCTTAATATGCCCTCTGGGGTGGTTAGTATTGTTTCTACAATGGCGTCCACGATGGCCATTGCGCGAGGATACTCGCGTTGGCTGGCGATTAATGTTCTCCTGGTCCCTACGTTGCTTGGGGCATGTTTGATGTCTTTTTTGCCGTCGTCCAATCAAAGTGGTTGTTTGGCGGGAATATACCTCGTGAACACGGTAGGTTGTTCCATTTGTAAAAGCGATGGGTGTTTGCTGACTGGAATAGACTGTTGCCCCGCTAGCTTTGATATTCGCGTGGACTGGTGCAAATTACAAGGGATACACCATGAAGGTAGGACGATCATATTTACATTAACCTTGCGGCAGCAGCTAATACGAACTTGTTTCGTAGGTAGCAGGAAGTACACTCGTCTCGGCCGGATTCAGCATCGCCAACATCATCGGGCCACAAACCTTTCAATCTCGCGATGCTCCAGGGTATGTACTTCACCTGAACTGCCTTTATCATTTTTCTTACTCATCTTAACAGTTACATCCCCGCTAAGATCACGATCGTCGCCGTCAATGCCGGCGCAATCATCATCTCCACCACGATGCGGGTGGTCTACGGCCGTCGGAACGCGCGCGCTAACCGATTAGGCCAAGCAGCGGGGAGTCGCATGGAGGAACGGCTGCGAAGTGAGGAAGATGATGAGGGGGTAGTTGACTTTCGATATGTGTACTAGTTTGAAACTGCCGAGACTAATCTATGCGACGGCTCCACCGGAGTGGAAATTACGACATGCTTTACTGTGTATATAAACCATCGTAATCCATATTCACAACACTCAAAGCTATCTAAGATCCTCCACACTGATAGTTACACTGCTAGTACCACCAACAACATGCTAACCCTTATAACCGGCGCCAACGGCTTCATAGCAACGCACTGCATCGCCACGCTCCTCCGCGCCGGCCACTCCATCCGAGGCACCGTGCGCAGCGCTGAAAAAGCCACGGCGACGCTTTCCGCCCTCCACGCCGCAGGAATTCCCCACCTCGACACCTCCCTGGAACTCGTGGTCGTTCCCGACCCCACAGACCTAGCGCAGTTCCTCCCCGCAGCGGCAGGCTGCGACGCGATCCTGCACCTCGCGTCGGCATTTACCTATGACGCGAAGCCGGGGCAGTTCGAGGGGCGGTTGCTTCGTCCGGCGATACAGGGAACGAGGGTTGCGTGTGAAGCTGCAGATCAGTGTGAGAGTGTAAGGAAGTTGGTGATTATGTCGTCTTTTGCGGCGGTTTATGATGCGGCGCTAGGGTTGCAGCCTGGGAAGGTGTATATGGAGGAGGATTGGAGTCCGTTGGGGTTTGAGGAGGGGAGTAATACTGATAATGTGGTGAGTATCTATTCGTTTTGTTTCGACGGTGATGTGTTGGTGTTCGTTGCTGACAGGGAGTGAATGTAGGCTGTGGCGTACCGCGCGTCCAAGGTTCTAGCGGAACGTACCGCCTGGGCATACGTCGAGGAAAATAATGTGGATTTTCAGCTAGTCACACTATGCCCTGGGATGGTGTTTGGGAAGATGATCCATCCGATTACATCGTTGGAACATTTGAACGCTAGTAATAGGATTGTGTGGGAGGTAGCGAAGGGCGGGAGTGACATCCCACCGACAAAGGCACCGGGTAAGTAGCTACCTAAGCGACGGAGTACACAACGCAGCTAACAGAAGAATTACTAGTCTGGGTGGATGTGCAAGATTTAGCAGAGACGTGTCTGCGCGTGTTGATGGTTGATTTACCCTCCCATCAGCGGTTTCTGGTCACGGAGGGCCCGTACGATACGCAGGAGATTGCGGATGTGGTAAGAGGGGATATTCCTGCTGCTTTGGGGCGGGTTGCGGTGGGTAGACCTGGAATAAGGATAAGGGATACGCATTATTCGTGCGATTCGGGCAAGGTAAAGAGGGTGCTGGGGGTGCAGTTCCGGGGGTTGAGGGAATCAATTGTTCCTTTAGTAGAGCAGTTGTATGCTATGGAGGAGGGTGAGAGAGGAGATGCTCCATCTGCCGCGGCACTCTAGATAATTCTAGAATGCTTTTGTGGTGCTCCTGCCTGCTATATAATCGCTTTCCAGTTGTCTCATTATTTAGAGTATCTTCTCCTGATCAATACAAAATCAATACCGAGCTCTGTAGTGAATATTAAAACTAACATCATATGAAGACGGTAAAGGGATGCCAATATAGATCACTAGTGACGTAGGTTATCGAGAAATTGTTGCTTCTGTTGCGTTTATGCTTGGAAAGATAATAAAAAAGTTTGGAGATTACTTCTTGCGTGTCTATAGAGAATCAGAGTGGAGGGCTGATGTGTTGTAGTACAAATAGATAACATTGAGCGACTATCTATCTATTATTCGTGCAACGCCACCTTAATATGTCCTGCAATCAAATCTATAAACTGTCGTGCCTGCCAGAGGTCTACCTTCTATCAGCACAAATACCAAACAAATTGAAGGGGAAAAAACGTACCTTTATCCATATGCATGAACGGATGAGGGACACCCTCAAACCGTCTCACTGTGACCTCACACCCTCCCTCGACCAACTTCCGCGCATACGCCTCGCCCTCATCACGCAGCGGATCACACCCCGCCGTGTAGATAACGGTCCGCGGCAGCCGCGTGAAGTCTGGCGCCTTCAGCGCATTGGCATACCACTTCACCTCAGCCATCTGCTTCTGGCGCACATTCTCGTCCTCGCTGAGACTGCGCCACTTGAGCTGATCGAACCATTTTAAGCGCGCCCAGTTCAGGGTTGGGGCGTGCTCCATCTCCTGCATGGACGGGAATGGCGAGTCGTGGGCTGTAGTGTACACCGAGATGTCGTCGATTACGGGAGTACCTACCGCTACAAGACGGAGAGGAAGTTGATGGTCCCGTGCCAGATGCGCAAGGATAAGTGCGATGTTGCCTCCCGCGGAAACGCCGCCGAGGGAAATGCGTGTGGTGTCGAGGCTTGGAAACTGCGCGCGGCCGGCAGGAGAGGCTAAGTGTTGGAGTGCTGCGAATGAATCCTGGATGCCGATGGGGAAGGCGTGTTCGGGAACAAGTCGGTAAGCGACGTCGACAACAGCTACGTTGGCCTTGACGGCGATGTGCTTGCAGATGTGAGATTCAGTATCGAGGTCCCCGAGGCCCCAGCCTAGCATCTAGATTAGCTTCAGGCCAATTAACAATGGGTAGGTGGGCGACGTACCGCCACCATGAAAGTCAACGTGGACGGGCCATGGTCCCGGGCTGTCGGGCTCATATACTCGGCAGGGAATTAAATCCCCGTTGTGGCCTGGGATAGTGGCGTCGTACACGCGAGCGGGCTCCGGCGCGGGACCGGTACCATAGGAGTAGAGAACGGAATATTTGGAGCGAAGGACAGTGAGATCAATTGGCCCGCTTGGGGTGTTGGCTACATGTTTGTTATAGAGTTCGATGAAGGTAGGGTCGAGATGCGGCAGCACAGACGGATGAATAGGGTTGAGAGCTTCGTGCGACATGGTGATAATTGTGTTCTCGTGCGCTTGTCGGTCTTTCGCTGGATTGGTTCGGCGAGGCTTATCTTATATAAACAGATACGAGGCGCCGTCGCATCCTCGCCTCGGCAATTGATTCGCATCTCCAGCCATCCCCGCATTTGCAGCTTATCTATGCGACGGTCCGACGACGCTAGGATAAGCCACTGATAGCCGACGGATTGACGGATAACCACTTGACCACAAGCATATATCACGAGCGAGATAATCCTAATATTACAGATTATTTCAAGCGAGGATTGCCGGGTAAGCCCATCAACTATCCCATAATCACCATGGAACCCGTTCTCATTGTAGGAGCCGGCATTGTCGGATTGACTCTTGGTCAAGCTCTTCAGAAGGTAATGGAATGCGCTTTTCGCGATGTAATCTGCAGACTGAATGCTAAATAGACACGTCTAGGCCAACATCCCCTTCCGCATTTACGAGCGTGATGCGTCGCCAGATGCTCGCGGCCAAGGATGGGCCATCACTTTGCATTGGGCCCTAGAGTACATTCAGAAGATGTTGCCCGAGGACACATTACAGGCTATTCAAGCGGTGCAGGTTGACCCACAAGTGGCCAAGAATGACAATGGGAATTTCCTTTTCATTGACCTCGCGACTGGCGAGCCCAAATGGAAGATTCCCCCGAGTACCCGCTGGCGGGTCAACCGGGAGAAGATGCGTCAAGCTTTGCTTCGGGGAATTGAACAACATGTTAGGTGGAATGCTCAGGTAGTTGATGTGGAGGTTACCAGTGCCTCAACTGCCCCATGTTTGGTTCTGGCAGATGGCACCCGCGTGTCAGGGAAATTCGTTATCGGCGTCGAAGGAAGTCGATCTCTGGTGAGACGAGTCCTGCGACCAGATGCATACAGCAACTCTGTCCTTCCCATCCGCTTTACTGGTGTAGCCGTGGACCTGTCCCCGCAAGAGATAAAACCCCTGCGGTCAATGGATCCCCTGCTATTTCAGGGCTGTCACCCTAGCACGGGCGTGTTCTTCTGGTTTTCAATGCTTGAGACTCCCGAGAGGAATGGCACTCAGGGAACTCCAGACGAGCATTACCGGGCCCAGATATGCATGTCATGGCCAGTAAAAAGCGAGGCAGACGAGGTGGCTGGCACCGATGCGGAACGGTTGGACAACATGAAGCGACGCTCAGTCGGATTCGTGCCTTTTTTGCGGTCGGTTGTAGAAGGTATCCCCAAAGGAACACCGGTCGTGGAAATTAAACTGGGAGATTGGGAATGTTTGGATTGGGACAACCGTGACGGTCGAGTCACTCTGGCGGGGGATGCAGCCCACGCCATGACGATGTGTGAGTTCTGTCGTGACCTTCTTAGGATATCGTTCTGACTCGAGCAGATCGTGGAGAAGCCGCGAATCATGGATTGTTAGACGCATATAACCTCTTCCAGGCCTTGAGACATGTGTACTCTGGTGAGAAAGGGGCCAAAGAAGCGTTGGATGAGTATGAGACGGAAATGCGATCGCGCACTAGACGCGCTGTCCGGCTCAGTCGACAGGCCTGCCGCGATGCCCACGCTTGGGAACAGCTGAATGAACACTCAGCCATCTTAACCAAACGGGCTGTCACGGGCGAAGCCGAGCGCTTAGAGTAAATTGGATGAGATTGATGATTGTATTATTCCCATCATAAAGTTCATTAGCTCAAATGTGATGAAAGGTCTTGATCAATGCCTATAAATGTACTGCCCCACAGCGACACGTTTTTGCTAGATCCTCTTTGACCCAGAGATACCTACTTCCAATGGAGTCAATTGGCGTCATAACATCAACTACCACCTGGGGTATTAACCCCTTCCCTGGCCCAGTGCTCGGGGTTTTTAAGAGGTAGCTAGGTTGGAGCAGACCGTCTGCAATATTTCAGCTTGCCCCCATACATAGCAGCTCTGTGCTATATTATCCACGTTCTGTTGGCCGTTGACTAGTCCTTAACCAGGTGTTTTGCTTTCACGTCTATTAGCAGCAGCTTTATGTGTAGGTTGTCCTTGGGGGGCACTGGCGATCAGGATGACCGTGATAGCCGTGAATGGAGCATGCAACAGTCCACCCACAAACGGACAAGAAGAGCATTGGTCCAATCCTTCCACGCTGATAGAAAGAACATTATGTTATCCCTTCTTTTACTTCGCATTGACATCAGCCCAATGCTAGCACTCCGACGGGCCATAACTGCATATTCTATACCCAACTATATTACCCAGAGCTGGAGTTATGGCGCTTACCAAAGGGCTGGTCACGTTCCGGTATAGAATTGAAGTCTTCTATAGCTAAAACAATAATGGGTTTGTATGTTTCGTTATTATATTGGAGGCGCTCAGAATCAGCAATCGGTACATTCCCATCAACATCAACATCTAATTACTATAACTACGTTGGCAACCAAATAGGATTGCTGACATTCTTATCAATCACATCAGTAGCTGGACATACACAACTGACGATGTTGAACCAAGCTGTTCAGTACTTATGCTACCGGAAATCTTGAAGCGCCTCAACGAGAACCTGTTTGCTAGGCTAACATCCCCCAGTAGCACTTGACCCAACACACACATCTCCAGTGCAATTGAACCCAACGGTCCCATCCACATTCCCACACAGATACTCTTCTGCATGGGTCGTATTCCCCGCTATTCGCAAACTTACATTCTCGATAGTGATATCTTCACACGGGGCAACAGCACTACACTGAAAGCTCGCAACATCTGAGGAGTCTGTAGTTCCAGAGATATCGGTGAAGACAAGATCGCGAATCTGAAATTTGGAATTGGTGCAGTTCCCTGAAGCACCAGAGAACGTCGTACACTGAGAGATTGTAAATGGAGCACCTTTGAGGTTGTTGGTCTTCAAGTTGGTTGCGACGATGTCGGATGCATCTGCCATGGTAGTATGGTTAAAATCAACAAGAGACTTGGATAAAATTACGTGGACGTACATCCCAAACCCCCGCCGCCTCCATTAGGCGGATATCCGACCTGGTCACCCGTCCAAGTCTTGAAGTACACGGCATGAGTTGTCTTCTCATATGTGATGTTTGAAATTTTAAGGCGTTCAACAGTCTCAAAAGCACCATTATATTGGCCAATACTCCCGATGGCAATTCCTAGGCCGCTAGTGAAGGTGCAGTTTGCGATCGTGATATCTGTAGAATTGGCTTTCGTGCTGATACTATCATCACCGTTGACGACTTCCCAGTTCGTGAATGTGATGTTTTTGCTGTAGATAGTATTTGCACCGTCGGTGTTCTCTATTCAAATAGGGTCAGAGACGTGACTTGCATCCCGATTCAACATGCGGAACGGTACTAACGTGCTGAATCGCCGTCATCATACAGATTGTTCACGTAGATGGAATCGAACCACGAGTTCGAGGTGTGAATGATAGACATTGTCCTGTATTGTTAGCTACATGCATTCATTTAGCAAGATGGCGCAATATGAATAACGATACCTACCACATCTGGCTCTGCACGAATCGCAACCCCTTGAAGACTGCGCCCATTGCTCCCGAGACCGTCAGCTGGTTCGGTCGCCGTGGGTAATTCGACGTCGATCCAACATATTTATACCAGGTTTGGCCACTTCCATTGAATGTTCCGTATCCATGTCCTTCAAAGACAATGTCTTTGCCACCCAAGATCCAGGCAGTGGATTGATTCTGGTAGCCGACGGGGAGGGAGTGGTTAAGCCAGTAGGAGATGTTGGTGCTCCACTGTCCATTGTCAGAAACAAACAAGAAACTAATATTGCATACAGAGGTAATTTATTTACCAAGAGTGTACCCTGTAGATCAATCTCCACATCATCGAGCCATGTCGTGTTCATAACAGAGTTGATATGGTAAGTGTTATTTGAGAATATCACCCGACCACCGGAACCACAGGTAGTCAGCGCGTCGACAATTGCAGGCACATCATCAATTTCTGAGGATCCGCCTGGTTTGACTTCGCATATGGTTCTTGCATGACCATTCCTCGCTTGGTCGGATAGCGAGATGGAAGGGACAATGAGAGAGGTAAAGAGGAGGATTTTCAACGCTATAGGTGCCATGGCTTGATTACTCGGTGAGAATGCTGTCTTCAGGATAAACCACAAATGTAACTGAATCACAAGCACGTAAATATACTGGGCTGCAGGGCTGGACCATGACATGCAACCCCTCAGTTCCCGGGGTAGGTTTACCCCGACGTGCACGAAGCCCAGTTGTGATAGGTGCAAATCATCGCGAGCATTTCTCCACGATCTGCAGTTCCCAGGGGTAAGAGCCTATCATCGTATTCGCATATATATTATGTTTGCATCCTGCAGAGAATGTAAGTGTCCGCTTTAGCTAATATTTGCCCCCGCCAGGCTCTTCGAATATGCGACCACGCGTACTACTATAGTGTAGTTCCACCTCGAGTCGAGACCCTAAGTCGAAAGCCACTCTCGGCTCGGCATATCACCCATCATGGGATCTGTACACTATACATATATTGTATGCCTGGATCATTCTATACGGACCATTGTAGTGATGATGATGCAATCTTCACCTATCAATCGCCATCGCCCACCATCCAGCCAGCGGCTAAATCATTAAGACCTCTCCACTTTCTGCCCCAAACGAGCCAATCTCATTGCTTTCCCCAACGCTAACGTGCGTTTCCACGAGACTGGCAAATAGAGATAATGGCATATAAAATTGACCCTCAGCCCCGCCTTTCATCTTTGTCCTCTATATTCTCTCACTTTTTTCTCGGCTTCTCTAAGTGGACATATGCGCCGCAGGGAACGCCGAAGCAGCAGCGATGTCAACCATGTCGAACGAGAAACTCCCGACATACTTTATCGGCCACGGTGGGAGCCTCATGTCTTGAATTTGTACAGCAAGTTTACTAAATATTAGCAGGAGGAGTGAGCATCCTCTTCAAACCCGGCTACGGGCCCGTCCAACAAGACCTCCGCGAGATCGGCAAGGAAATCAAGGCCCTGAAACCGGAAGCAATTGTCATCACCTGCGGCCATTTTCAAGGCGAAGGTGATGCTATTGAAGGTAAACGATTTAAAAAGTAGGACCCACTACTGGAACTCTCTAAAACATTATGCCACAGTGAACCTAAAAGAACCCACCAAAGTGTGGCATGACTTGGGCCCTTCCTGGCACACGACATTCCCCCACGTCTTCAAGTATCAGTACGCACACAAATCGTCTAGAGCCTTAGGAGAAAAGGTATTGCAGCATCTTCTTGATCAGGGGATTAAAGCGAGGGGAGTGGAGCGTGATCTTGATCATGGAATGTCAGTTCTTCCCCTGCGCTTTTGAGAAGCCGAGACAATCTCGATCTACCTAGACAAGTGGCCTAATCCAAACCAGATGGGTGCCTTTCAAACTCATGTTTCCAGAAGAAGACGAACTGGATATTCCCATCCTGCAGATTTCCACCTACGCAGGAAATGATCTGAATGCACACGTTCGGCTGGGTGAAGCACTTTCGTCATTGTATGTTTTCACATTCAACTCATGCATTCAGCATTGAAATTTCCGTATGCTGAAAGAAAAGCTAATCGATCGTCAGACCCGGGCGCATTCTCCTCATTGGATCAGGCATGATCGTCCACAACCTCCGAGCTACGCGTGAAGGAACAACAGACACAACAGTAGCTAGATCAATAGAAGATGCGGCTCTGAAGGCCTTATCTGCCCCGACCCCCAGCGAAAGAGACGCACAGTTTCTAGCCTTCCAAGAACGTGAGGATTGGATTGACGCTCATCCGACCGAGGAACATGTCCTGCCATTATACATGACACTGGGTGTCGGGCGCAATTGGTCGGAATATAAGGTCTGGAATCAGGATCGGTATATTGTAGGACAGTCGTATCTGTCGTTTCGTCTTGGAAAGCTGCCTTTGACAGGTGATCGCTTGAATGGGCATCTTTAATGGTTAATGCTCTAAATAATGCCCTCGGACGGCAGGTGATCTTGAATAATGACTGCAGCAAGATAATAGAGTCCCCTTATTCGTAGGGCCCTAGATATTTGTAGTTCTACGGCAAAATTGTTGGAAGAATATAGCAATGCAAAGTCTTTAACGGTTGGGTACAAAAAACAATTGATTGGCTAGGTATAACCATGCTTTTCCCTGAGGCCTCAATACTGACTTAATCTTCTAGGCCTAAGGTGACTTATCCTATATGGGTTTGGCCTCTTTGATGCGGTCGCTCAGGGTGTTGCTCACTTAGTACCCCTCATCACCGGTAAAGCCCCAGTGAGCGTTCGAGCTGAGCCAGAGCGTTTGAAATAGGGTGAACACAGACAGACCACGCTCATATCACAGCTTTAACCATAGCAATAAGGCCTTCAATCTTTTATTGGGACCAAGGGTAGCCTCAACTCGTTCCAACGTACCCATCATTGCATCGAACAGCTGCAATGCAGTTTCTCGAGCATGTGCAAGACTACCGACCTTTCTCATCTCAGCGACAATATAGCTCTTCATATCTAGCGACAGCTCATGGCCATTCTCTCGATGGAACAACAGCCCCCGCAGCATATCCGCCTCGGGACTGTTTTGCAAAGCATGGATAAGAGGGAAGGACAATTTGCCCTCCGAGAGATCCTCGCAGTAACCTTTTGTTCCGGTATACTATGTCATGTCAGAACTGTCTTTCACTCAATGTATCCTACTAGGTACATACCTCATCTGACGTCAGATTCAAGTAGTCATCTCGGATTTGGTAGTATCTTCCCATCAGCGTTATGAGTTGCATAAGATCAGGGCACGGCTCCGCCTTCGACTCAATCTCCAGAAGGCGTAATGTCATCCTGAAGAGCCCCCCAGTTTTGTTATCGACCATAGTAAGATATTCGCCCGTTGTCGGACACGTCTTCTGAAATTTCCAGTGAAGATCAAGAGCTTGCCCAAGGGCAAGCGTCTCTAGTTCGTCTGCAAACGTTTAGAAAGGGTTTGAAGTAGGCTTTCTTGGTTACTGACCGAGAAAGGCTGCTTTGCACGCGTCCTGTTGTAGCTGGTCTAGGTCACGAGTCGCTTTCGCGTATAAATAGGTTGCGCTATTGACAGTCTGAGCTTTACCAAACACTATATGTGCGGCTGGCTTCCCACGACGGAGCATTGAGTCATCCTCAATGTCGTCGATCCTGGCTGGCATGAGCTTATACAATGGCCGATCAGCGAGGGTAATACTGACATGAGGGTCGAGTGGAAAATCATATTTGTGATGTGCTCTATGACAGAGGCCGAATCATCTGGCAAGTGGAGCCAAGACCGCAGGCATTCGATGAATTTTGAAATCGTCTGCTTCCCGGGCGTTGATCTAGTGTATTCGTACGGAGCCATACATAGCTTCTGCTGTCAGTAGTGTGTCAGAACTAGATCCAAAGAAGTTCTTACCTGCTCCGCTGATGCCTTCTTAAATGGCGCTAAAATGTCCCCCTGACCTCCGGCTGAAGAATTCGTACCGTCTTTTCTGAGAGTCTCTGAAGATTGCTTAAATGAAGCTGGTGGAGGATAGCCATGGAGTCTGTAGTTTCTCTTGTTGCGACATACAAGCTGCGCTCGGTCTTCTGCAGTCGTCTTCAGCTTGATTCCATGGTATCTCGGTGAGATAGCCTGGGCATAACATGTCCCTCCAACACTGGTGACCCAGAGGGCCATGTATGCACGCAGGTCAGCTGACTTAAAGGCCGGAGAAGCTTTCCAATCATCGTAATTTGTAAGAAATTGTCGCTCGAGCGACAGAATTTCTCTTCTCAGAATGCTGTTTGCTTCTTCCTCCGTGTAGTCATAGTTGGCCATCAGGACAGCCATTGCATTGGGTATGACATCAAGACTTCCACTTGTGGCATGCTCCTCGAAGTCTTTATAGAAACTTTCATAATCGTTGGCTAGCCCGGTAATCAAGCTACCAAGCTTGATGAGCGATGCCACCGAGGCCTGTTCATTCTCACTGATATGTAGGTCGTGACAGATAGGAATGACCAGTTTAGCGAACCTTTACCCTATGTCAACGCTATGCTACAACCCCACGCAGAACTAGACACTTACATTCCAGCATTACTTTTACTTTTCTGTTCTTTATATGCATCAAATGTTATTTGGTTGAGAGAGGGCATCGGCTGAGATCGCAGTATCGCCAGGAATTCTTTCAGAACAATATTCTGCTCATCATCTCGGCACCCAAGCTGCGGAAGTATTCCTGTAAGTGCGCTATAGTATATATTATTGATTTCATAATCGCATGCAATTGGGGTGCCCGTCTTGACCCTAGACATGATTGCCAAGGCAAGGTCATCCACAATTGCTTGGTGCTGGCGCAGGTCAATAATAAAAGCAGTGGCATAAACCCGGATTGAGGCAGGATAGGTGGGGAAGACACATAACACACCTCATCAGTCCTAAGTGTGCCCATTTCATCTGTACTCTCTCCATTAAGCTATTGCACTCACTATTCAAATACAGGAACGGAAGAAGCGTGACATACCGTTCCACAGCGTGGCAATGGTAACAAATCCAAGCATTAAACCCCTTTTGCTTGGTGGACATTCCGGGTATACATGTGGGAAACTAGAGAAGTCTTTTTCGTCCAAAATGGATACAGGGAGCTCCTTACCAACAGCTCGGCTCCAGTCATCCTTTGCCCGGTCGATGACGCTGCTGTCAAGAGGGGGAGAAATTAGGCGACAAGGAATAATATGAAAATAGCCATCCGGTAGCTCGCTAGCCTCAACAGGCCGCGAGTGGTGGAAGGGATAATCGTCAACCGACATTGCGAGTCGTGGCTGGGATTCTTGCGGATTCTCAGAATAGAAGAGAAAAGTTGCGAAGGTGAACAAGAATGGTAGGGCTTAAATGCCGTTGCCTGTATTTAATTAAGCTAATGTGCAGGTAAACAAGCGATGACGTGTCTGAGCGTCTCGCCTTCCCCACCGATGCTGTTCGGCCACCTTATTTATAGACGTTCTCCATACATGATTGCTTGCCTATCTTTTTATTTTTTTCCTGAGTTATTAGTATTTCTTCTACCATTTGTTTTTTCTTTTTTTTTTTTTTATTCTTTCTTTTTTTTTTTTTTTTTTTTTTTTTTTCTTATTTTTTTTTTTTTTTTTTTTTTTTTTTTTTTTTTTTTTTTTTTTTTTATTCTTTCTTTTCTTCTTTCTGTTCTTTCTCTTTTCGTAGAGCACAAAACCAAACCCCATCTAGACCAGCATACCTGCAGACTCGACAAACCTGATCGGAGTAGACAGCGGGATAGATGATATGTATCAGACATACTTTCATGCCTAAGACTTTATTGTTGAAATTTTCCATCGAGATATACTGCCATCTGAACGGTTTGTCTTAACAAAAATACTGCTTATCACTAATGCGTCTTGGCCGCTTCACAATTGGTGGAAATGTCTACACAGGTAAACTACACCCATTGAGGATAGACAACATTGCATATCAAGGAAATTATATTGGTAGAATTCTTAACGGGAAAGATTTGCAGATCAACCTGGAGAAATAGAACCGCATGACTAACACAATGCTTCAGTCGTGTCATGTGAGTAATTGATTTTGTGTAACTGGATGTACAATCCCTGCTACGCCACTGTCACTCAAGATCAGAAGCCGCGGGGCTACACTCCCAGGCTCGTTCAGGTACTCCGGGTTGTCCCTGTTGGCTACTCCGTACTAAGCGTTCTCCTCATCAGTGGACAGAGAATAGCTGCGGATATCTCCGTCTTCAGGGCCGCTTGGACCCGATGGGACCCAATAACGCTAAGCCTGAGTCGGTCAAGCCGGCAATGCAACTCGCCCGGGTTGGCAGTCAGATCAATCACCTCTCTCGTTCAGGTCAAGCTGCATCTGCGTCTGCATCACTAGCCGCTATCATCGACGGATATTTTAGGCGTAGCACACGTTATTGGGCTCTGTTACTCAATCACCGTCTTTGATGACCATGAATTCATCTTGGCTTGCAGAATTACGAAGAACTAATTTTAACTAGAGCAGGAAACTAATGCAGATACCGCATCGGCATTGTGTGGCTCGATTATTGGAGAACCTCGTCGTTCCATTTTATAAAGGAGTGCTCACCCCTGTCCGAATGATAGCTGAATTCCACATTATTAGGAATCACATTGGCCATGTTGCTAACTACTGTCACCCAGTCATTCCAGTCTTATGCTCTTCGACTGGTGCAAGACACCCTACGGCGAATTTCAGCCCCGGTAAAATTGATTGATAATATCAGCGAAGAGGAGAAAATACTGTACGATGACTCGGAAATCGCAGATTCCGAAAAAGCGATTGTCCGCGTCAAAGATGTGAACTTTTGGAAAAGGGCGTTTCTCGATTTCGATCTGGTACGTATCCGGCAGATTCATGAGGGGCTTGCTATTAGCAATTAATACCTGCAAGGGGTTTGCGGAATCCTATATGTTCCAAGAAATAGAATGTGATCAACTGAACAAGATCTTCGATGTAAGCCATTCCATAATCACAAATCAACACCGCAGAACAACTAAGACAACAGCCAAACAGCTATACATCCAAAACAGTGCCACGTTCGACTCGGGAAGCTCACCCTTCCATCTCATCGTCCGTCTAGCTCAATGGTGGCGACCGAAAAATAACATTGAAAATGCGCGCAGCAACATCGCATCCCACTACGACACCTCCAACGGACTATTCACCAACTTCCTGTCTCCGGACTTGAATTACTCCTGCGCACATTTCACTAGGGACGTAACAGAGCCCCTTCAGACAGCCCAACGACGAAAAGTCCACTACATGATCAAGAAAGCGCGCCTTCAATCAACTCACCACTTACTGGATATCGGTTGTGGCTGGGGAGATTTGATCATCGAAGCAGCGCGGCTGACCGGCTGCAAAGCGACAGGAATAACTCTGTCTGAGGAACAGAAAAGTCTTGCGGACGAACGCATCCGCGATGCTGGTCTGCAGGACCGCATTCGGGTTTTGCTGTGCGATTATCGCAACGCGCCCCGACCTGAAAGTGGATTTTACGATCGCGTCATCTCGATCGGGATGTTCGAGCATGTCGGGGCTGAGTATATGGATCAGTACTTTGAGGTGATTTCGCAATTATTGCCGCCTCGGGATGGTGTGTTGGTTATTGATGGGATAACAAAGATACAACCGGTATTATACTCTCCCACTTGAAGCTTGCATGAAGAATGAAATATCTGAGGTTTGGCAGTTCCACGAAACAAACCCCCGGATGGGCGACTACATCGACCGCTACGTCTTCCCGGGCGGATACCTTCCCACCCCGAATATTCTCTTCGAGTCTCTGCACCGCGGCAGTAAAGGATCACTAGAAGTGTCTTCCGTGCTCAATTCAGGCCCTCATTACGGGAAGACCTTACTCGGATGGAGGGACAATTTTCTTGCGAATTGGGAAGATATCCGATCGGACTTTTGCGGTCGGCATCCTGAGGCTTCCACGAAGGAAGTTGAGGCTTATCGACGGCGTTGGCTGGTGAGGTTCCCCAATCCCTTATTTGATATTTCCACAGGGTACTAATGGATTGTTAAAGTACTATTTTGAGTATTGCGAAGCCGGGTTTCGTAATCGCATCTTGGGTAATTATACTATTTGCGCAGTTCGCGCTCCTGAGCCGGTTGTGGGGTATGAAGGTCTGGATATCGGTGATGCTTAGGTGTTTATATGATATTTATAGCTTTGTAGTACGATTTGATTACTCTATTAGACTGGACGAATGGCTAGGCTTTAAGGTTGGGAATTGGGAGATTCAAGCTACTTAGATTGAGAACATTGAATTGGGCGAGTTAGTATCTACTCTTGCAAATATTCAAGAGCATTATAAATCTACTATATCTACGAAATTTGTGCAAATTGATCAAATTATTGATCTCTAATCCATTTTGAGGTCTGGATTAATAGTCTATAGTACATGATTCCCAACCCCATACATCAAATTCCAATTCACTTATCTTGCCTCCTTAATAGGTGAACTCGCAAGTAACTCCATGGTCCCTCTCACCACAACCATCCTGCAAAGACTTGGTAGTGGTGCCGTACTTGATGTACCCTCCCTTCAGGTCACTGGCATCATAATCACATCCTTCACCGTTGTAAACGGCAATATCTTGGGTAAGACCAATGCTGGAGGCATCGAATGTCTGTTGTGAACTCCCGCCCTCGAAATTGGTGCAGACCACTGCAAACTTGGCGGATTCCCAAGATCCGTCCTTGGAGTTGCAGACGCGGATCTGTCCGAGTAGAGCTGTTAGATTCCTTTGTCCCACGAAGCGTTTTAAGGGCAATAGTGAGAACTTACCCATGGCTCAACGGAACCTTCACCATTAGGCTGGTAGTTGCTATCGCGGACGGAGGTGTAGTGAACCCAGAAAGTGCCATCGGCGGGCTCAACTCCTAGGTCACTGAGTCCGCTGTCGCATTCCCAGAGGGCTGATGCTAGCTGGGGGGCAGCTGTGAGTAGGAGAGCAGCAGTTGCGATGAGCGAGGGAGGAAACTGCATTTTTGTTGAAGTAGAGAGGATGTACACTGTTGTTTTGGAGAGTTTGGGTGAGAGATGAATGCGAATGATTGCTCGTTCTCGTTATTGTTGCTGTTGATAATGATTTCAGTCTTGGGGAGAATGCATCCTTTTATCTCCCATTCGCGAAGTAGGGTAACCTCTCAGGTGTATCTTCAAAGGCGCCTTTCTCCTAGCTCCCATTGACAACATCTCTGACTCTGGCAAAATATTGCAGGTAAGTATTACGCCCCCAAAGCGATTGACAGGGGCGAAAATTGAGATCTATGTCTACCACTGTTATCAGAGCACTTGCGCGGCACTTCAACCTTCAATGATATCCAAGTACGATGTTTCATCATGTTGGTTCTTGAAATTTGGCCCCATTGTTGCTTGACTGACGCGTGGCACTAGTGGGTAGACGAGTGGCGGGGTGCCGTTAGCCCCCACAATGTTGCGGACACACCACTCCCGGATTAACCCCGACTGAGGATTCTTGTCGTAAACTAGAGATTGGCTGCAGGCTGAGGCTTACTGCAAGGTTCGGTTACCATCGAAGCCTCGTCTTACATGATATGCACAGCTTGGCGAAACTTAGAGGTTGCTTGATATTTCCTAACCCGCAAGGGCGCCCCGCCCCGGGAAAAGCTTCATTATGCCAGTTTTGGAGCCTACGGCCGAGGCTATGGTTGGCTGCGCACCAAGGGCATTTACTTGTGTGCCATAGCCACCACCGATGGGGTTATAATGTAGCCCACTAAGCAGGGTAGCGATATATCTCGGACGTACCTGAGCACTTGGCACTGATCTGTGGTAAGAAAGAATCAAGCGTAACCGAAGCCTGGGGCTGGGCTTATTCGTGCCTCGCATTAGTCGCTCGTGGCCTGGCTCCTTGTGATTCGGGTGGAATCTTCAGAGTATGTCTTATCGAGAAGTCTTTCGCCCGATTGAGCTCGGACAGTGTATTAGGTCCTTGAAGTTCTGTCGCGACCTTGCCCGTGGACAATTGGCTCCCTAGAAAGGGTCACATCTTGCACACGACTCTGGCCCCTATTAGAGCAGGTAATACCAAATCTGCCATCAGATCAAAGTGCCCCGTATCTCCGAGCCCGTCAAGCTGATAAGGTCTGATCACCGCAGTGTTGTGCAACAAAGGAGAACAGTGTCTTATTGGAAACTCGGCGTTCAGTAAACAGTACATGGACGCACATTGTCCGGGAGTTGTTGTGGGGGGCACTTAGATATCAAGTCAGCTCCCTTGCCTCAGTGTCATAATGGGCATGATTTTGAGTTTAAGTAACCAAGAAGCATCTATCAGGGGAGAAGCTTCGGAAAAACCAAATATCACGGTTCTGCTTGCCCCTTCTGGCCTAGTACAACAGTAGAGGGAGCCTCGGGCCTCTCTGTAACTTTGCTTTCTCTGCGGTCTCCCGCTTTTCCTTCTCTCTCACCTGGTCACACTCTTCATACCATTCAAGTTGCACAGCATCTGTCTCATATGTCGGTCCCCTTGGCTCCTATTTAGATCATAGTACCCTTCGTCGCTCCTTTCGCCTCTAAGAAGTTACTGTCATCCCACAACAATGGCTTACCTTCCCCTTCCTTCGGGCTACGTGGACACCCAGTCCCGACAGACCTGTGTTCTGGTCGAGATACTCCCTGAAAAGGATTATCTCCTGCGTCAGGCATAGCAATTACTCAAAACAGGCTAAACTGGGATATATAGACGATGGGTAATGAAAATGCTGCGACTAACAAAGTCACGTGTCCACGTATGTGAGACGAATGAGTCTACCGACCGAGATAATGAAAAAAGAAGCAAGATCATGGTTAGGAATGTAAGCTAATGGGAATATCAGCACCCCTAGTGCCAAATATCCCGATCGGCGATCCGTACTCTTCCGGTTCTTTGACTTGGGTCATTGAAGCATGGTGCCGTTGTCGATGGTGCTAACTAATCGACGCATCTATGTCTGCGAAACGAGACGTCATTCCTAAGACAATATTTCTCGTTCGCTGCTCACGTAGATTTCTTCTTGACTGGAGAAGCATTATTTGAAGAGGATGGTAGGCCCAAGTGAACAAGATATTACTCAGAATACGGCACACAGCCATGATTCAGGCCCCATATAGTACAGCGAGATTGTGATACTCATGGGTAAGTCTCGGCTAAATATTGAAATATGGACTCAACAGAGCTGCGCGATCATTATCTTTATGGCCTAGGCTTCAAAATGCAGTGGAGACGAGATCGTCGATCATATCATGCACAAGAATAATACGACTGAACCCTGGGGGGTCACACAGCATACTAGTTTACGGTTCTAGAATACGTGCCTGTAGGTCGGTCGGAGACCACTGCATCAGAAAGGGCCCACCGAGAAGAAATTCCTGACTAGTAGGAAACAATTAGGGATTGATGAGCTGTGTGAGTTTGTGAACATGCTAAACCGAATTTCGGGCGGTGGAACGCCCCACAAAGAGCAGCTTAGAATGTTAGATTTTGAGTGGAGTTCTGGAATGTTTCTCCTTTGGGCACGTGTTGTGCGATCGATAGCTTCGGAGGTGGCGGCACTCGCCGTACATCCCGTCCCAAGTTTGATAGCTGGCAGTGACGCAAGAGGCAACACTCGCAGCACGTAGTCTATAGGCGGATAGGCGGATGGCTTTTTTCAGGGCGGATGTACCCTTTAACGAAATTGCCCGAGAAAGGAAATGGTGAGGAACCGGGTCAAGCCAACAAGATAACTTGGACGATTATTGGCCTGGTAGTGCCTTCCGCGCCGTTGTGGGCCTGCGGGAGATTGGCTGGAAGCCATTTCCATTTGTTAGCGTCCCCGCCAGTATGACCACCTCATGACCGGCCGCGGAGAAATAAGTATCGACTTTGGAGATCCAGCGAGGCAGGCGCCCTTTATAAACTTGCCTGACTGTCTACCTCACACTATCTATCATGCTTATCACTTTCTTATGAGTTGGAGGCTAGGACGTCCATCATCACCAGGTGAAATAAGGCTGAAAGATATCTAATCTATGACCGCGGAGAGAAAGCAACGGATTCTGGCCCCTGCAGCCCCAGTTAAGGACCCCGCGCCACGAGTTTCATCAAGAAAGGTTTCTACAGCTTGCTCAAATTGCCGCCTCAAGAAGGCGAGGGTTTGTTCCCACATTTTCTCATCCTCTGTACTTTGAGTGTTTACGAAGCTAACCCTGCGTCTCCTCCAGTGCAGCGGAACAGCACCATGCGACTCCTGTGTAAAGCACGATCTCGAGTGCAATATCGACGAGGCAACAGACTCCCGCCGAAATTCACCTTAAACGCAAGATCGACAGCTTAGAAGGCGACCGCGATCTGTTCGTGCAGGTGCTGGAGATATTACGAAATGGTGGCGTCACACGGGTGCATTCCCTATTGCAGTTGATTCGCAGTAATGCCTCGTTGGAAGAGCTTCAACTATTTTGCGAGGACAAACTCAACGCTGCCAGTACCCTTGATTCTACAGTAGATGAAGTCCGGTTGTCAGATGAGTCTGTCGTTAAGATACCACGGAGAGTGCTCAACATCAAGCGGCTCGCCGATCAACCTGTCTTTCGCGTACCCGCAATACCCTGGACTAGAATAACCGATGATGATCACTTTGTTTCACACCTTATTTCCATATATTTCACATGGCGGTATCCTTGCTTTCCCTGTCTTGATCAAAATCTATTTATACGCGACATGAAAACAGCCAAGCTCAGTTCCCAGTTCTGTTCGCCCTTTTTAGTCAATGCCATTTTGGCTGATGCCTGTGTAAGCCGCCGACCACTTCTATTAGACGCCGCCTTCTACTAGACATGTTATTGACATAACCATTCAATTTAGGCATACTCTGACTTCGCAGAGGCGTACGAAGTCCCCAATGATCCGTCTACGCGAGGGTTACATTTTTACAAAGAAGCAAAGAGATGTTTCGAACAAGAAGATGGGCATTCAACCATAGCCACAGTACAAGGGCTAGCAGTATTGTCAACTTGGTACGACCCATTTGTCTTTCAACTTCTATACGACCTCGAAGTGTTGATGATGAGACTTAGTGCATGCTTAATGGGCAAAGACAGACGGGGATGGATATACCAGGGCCAGCTTGCTTATGCTGCGAAAGAGCTTGAATGCACGCTTCGCACAGTATCCTCCGGCTCTCTTACTGAGGCATCTGACATACGACGAGTTATCGAGCTTACACTTTGGGGGTTGTACAACATGACAATGTATGTTATTCAATGAAGTTGTGTGTGAAGTAAAACTGACTGTTACCAGCGCAAGCGCCTTCGCTTACCAAAAGCCGCCGCTGATCGAAAAGCCTAGCCGTCCATGTCCGCCAAGTACTCATGACAATGATGACCCGCTATGGCACCCTTATCCGCACGACAACGATGGTCTCCAGGCGCACTACATGTGCTATTTCCACAGCTTATCTGACCTGACAGCCATCGTTGACGATTGGTGCACGTTACTTTTTGACGGTTTTACGAAGCCGCCGCCCAATGAGATCCAAGACATGGAAATCAAAGTCCGTAAACGTCTTGCGGCGTGGGAAAAATCTCTCCGAACATGTCTCAGGATCGAAACTGGGGGTGTGATCCTTCCTCATGTATTATGTCTACAGTATGTCAATTCTGTGTATGACAAGGTTCTCGGCTTTAATTAACAGTCTAATGTAGTATGTATTATCACAATATTTGTATCACCATTTCGGAGCTTGCCAAAGCAGCAGAGCATGGGGCAGAGAATCAGCATCGGGGGCCGCAAGAATCGTCTCTCTCTTCTGCTCGTCACATCGCCGGTTTGATGGAGATACATCGATCCTCCTGGGGCATTGATATGTTTCCGGCATGTTATATTCATTGGATTGCAGTGTCTATGTTTACTTTAATGGGCCAACTTGACGTGTTAGCGAACCAAGAGGCGTTTATCAATCTTTGTGTGGCTGCAAAAGTGGCCTCTCGACGCTGGCCCCTTGCAAGGGGCACATTACGAACTGTTCAAATCACGGCCAAGAGGCTTGGAGTAAGGCTTCCGCCTGAGACTGATACACTGTTCCTGGATTTCGAGAAGGAGATTTGGGGGCCCAAGGGTCGCAATGGACTCAGCAGCCTGTATCCCAATTTTGCTGTTCTGACAGGATCATTACGAAATGAAGCCGTTGAAATGGACAAATTCCTGGAGAAAGAGGATAGCTTGGAGGCTCTCGACCTTGCGGAAGATGAGGAAATGATATCCTAGTAGCGCAGAGACTACAGTTGATCGGGGCGTATGGCTATTATAGGAAGCACAAGGCATGAGTCACATCATCAGAGATATGTATTATTAGCGAGACAAGAACAAGAAGTCTCACTAATCAGAATGAGATTAGAATAGCAACACGCACCTCGCGCAATGTGCAAAAACAGATGATTTAAAATGCGTTAGCTGGGAGTCGAACCCAGGGCCCAACCTTTCAATCTTTGCTTTCGCAGGAGATCATGGAAGGGTTGAATGTTACCGTTACACCACTAACGCAAGGGGTGAAAAATGTATTGTCTTCTTTGCTTCATAGGCAATATAATCTTCTTGCCCTCATAATCCCTGTATTCCCTGTAGCATAGGCATGGTGGCAACACTAAGATGGATTTAAATCAGAGCAAAGAATAATAGAAGGCACACACGTCATAGAGAGTTAATAGCTTACTCTTCACTCGTCAGCCTAATCAATAATAAGCTTGACTATCATTCGCACCACCTTCCCAGGCACGACCCCACCCATCTCTTACCCCTCGACCCCCTCAGATAAGCTTTAAATCTATACAAAGTAACCAAACACACCCCTGGGTACTTCTCCTACTAGTACTCTAAGAGGAATGCCCCCTTACCCGACCCCAACCACCCCAATAATTCACCTCCTCACCCGCGACATCTGCACCATGGACAACCACCACTTCTACCGCCGAAAAGGAACAACCAAATGGATTGAATACCCGCCCGAAACTCCCCCTCCACCACCTGAGCAAGACACTCGGATAAGCAATAGTACCTATCTCCTCTCCCTCTTCCAGGAAAAGCCGGGACCAGGTAAACCTCTCCACTGGTCTTTTTTCGTGGCGCGGGAGGGAGAATCAACCCGTGCAGGTGTACCAGGTTACGGGTGATGCGGAGTTTATGGTTTATGAGCCGTCGGAGGGGGTAGTGGCGTTGAGTGAGATTGAGGAATTATGTAATGTTTTTGTGTTGGGGGGAGGTAGATGGGGATGGGGCACAGTTGGTGAAGAGCATTGCTGGGAGTGAGATGCCGCCTCGGGCGAGGAGCAGGAGGGAGGTGAGGGAGAATTGTCAGGGGTGGGTGATGAGGGTTGTAGAGAGGTTGATGGGAGTGGGGTTGGTGGGGGAGGAGAAGGTGGGTGTTTTGAGGGCCATGATGGAGGATGTTTAGATGCGGGGTGTGGTGCAGGGGGGGAAATTGTGATCCTATAGTGGTGCCTTGATGTCAGGACAGAATGGATGGTGATTGTTGTGGCTCGTCTGATGTAGGCGATTTCTTTATCGATGTTTTCTTCGCTGACGCCTTGCTGGGGCATTGGTGGTGATGCATTCAACTACTGACGTAGTTTGCTATGGACATTACGCTCGCCGTATTGTCACTGTGAAACGGAAGATTGTTGGTGGGGTGAAGCAAACTGCATGAAACGATTGTAGCCTTGCAATCATCCATAGGTGATGAAGGGAATAAACGGTAGACCAAGACTTGTGGGTGGGTAAGTGCGCAGCCGTGCCACAGCCCGCCTCGGAATTGAGTAAATTCACTTCGAAGTAGAGAAAACAGAGGTGAGGGGAATGTGATCGATGTCAGACGGTCCAAAAGTTAACTCAGAAAAAAAAAGAATGACAAGAGTGGGATTCGAACCCACGCCATCTTACGATGATCAGGAAGCTGTGAAGCTGGGTATTAAGGTGGACCTTAACCTGACGCCTTGGACCAACTCGGCCATCTTGCCGTGATTATATAAGGAGACGGGTGTATTGTGCTTTATCAAGGACCTTCATATCCCACAGCTCATCTGCTTGGTTCCGTTCAGCTTCAGCTCTCCCGTCGGCAGGCGACGGGTGGGTCAGACAGCAAGTTTCTGAGGCTCGAAACGAGGGAGGCACCGTCCAAATAATATCATAATTTTCCGTGAGATTAAGGTAGTCTCATCTAATGATTATCATCTCGCCTTTGCATTGCCGCGCAATACTGATGGCAACCAATTTCTCAGTTACCGTACCGTGCTCGTGTGTGAAAGCATAGGGTACGGCCCGGATATATTTTATGACCACTGCAGTCGTAGTACTAGTAGTAAAGCCGACCACATCATCACATCACACCCAGCTGAACTATCACCATGTGCCACTACAGATACTAGCAGCAACGTACGAGAAAAGCACCATAATTCAGACTACACCCCATCTCCCCGTGCGACAGAAGTAGGCAGTCACCTATTACTAGTAGTACCAGTACATCTTTACCCCACAAGTGGTATGCGAATTCTTAGCACTCCAACTATTAATTGCTACTACTCTTCCCCATGCTCATGAGTCACTCACTCACCAGGGTTAATGATTACCAAGGAGTATTAGTACTGCGTGGAGCTACCTCCTCTTCCGACCCGGGATTATAAACAAGCTGCAGCGTACTAGTCTATTTAGTACCTTTCAAAGCAAACCCCGATCGTGCCAGGGGCTTCTAAGTGGCCATGTTCTACCACAGACCCATCCGTGATGGATAGTCTTTATTACCTTGTGCCTTGAAAGGTACCAATAATTATTTAGTTACCCGCCCACCTCGCCATAACACGCACATAGCGTCATGATGCTCCTACTGCATGACCGACTGGAGGGAGCTCCACATCTCCTCCAGCCTGGATGCTACTAGTACTACCTTCCTACTATGTACCACTCCTCTGCCATCGGGGTTCGATTGATGCTTCTCATTTTGAACGGTATGGTTCAAACAAATATGGGTAACGTTGGAAACTGCGTCTCGTCTTTCTGAGTCCTAGCAGAACTTCCGGGCCACGTCTTCCGGACACACTATCCCTTCCAACCATGTCAACTGTGGCGTCCGATGGTGCCATCAAACACACCTGAGCGACCCCATTCCTCTACCGCCGTGCTATCGAATCATACTATATGCAGCTAGTCTAGTCCCCCCAAACAGATTTTGAGCGCATCCAAGCTTTTCCACTACGTTTTCGCAAGTCACATGCAGCTTCAATGATGAAACGGGTAACCTATCCTGGTTTAATCAAATATTGACGGCTATTTGTTCTACATATATGAGCCAAATAAAAGATGAACCAAGCGATAATAGGAAGGTCTTATACACGCCCATAGTGGCTGGGTCCAACGAGACGATTGGAGCTGAATGAATTGGCAACCTCCCAATGGCGATCCGAATGGTGGCGTCACACCCCTTTTAACTGTACTGGGAGGACAAACGTATGCCAACACGAGCCACGGGCTTTGCATCACTGAAATTGTTGACGAGAAGATCATAGCCTAACGTTATCCCATTAGAGTGATACTAGCAACCTAACAGGGCCATGGCGTATTTCCCAAGTTAGCAATTCTTGTTGCCACTTGTTAATATTGTGATCAATGCTGTGACCACCTTTCAAGTCTGGTCTATGATTTCGCCCAAGGGTCCTCTACGCTTGACTGATTCCCCCAGAAGTACTCTTCATGCGAAGGTGAGGTACAAGCCAAGACAAGACGTGAAAAGGATAAAATTATCTGTCTCCCTACCCAACGCGTATTGCAGAATTTGCTGTAGGCCCTTATCTATCCTGCTGCGGAGCTTTGTCTGTTCTAGTGCTAGACCAGGAAAATGCGGGTTTCCAGTTAAACTACGATAAATCAACGGGTACAGACTTTAGGCGATTGATCATACTCCCTTTGATTTATGTCAGGAATCACGCTAGCCTGGATTTGTGGTCGTACTTGGCATGAAGGTGAGCAAGCATCTGTAATTCCGATGGTTTGCTAGGTTCGTAGTAGTGATGATTGCTAACCCTGACACAGTTTTAACACTAGTTCTTATCCACGTGAAAACATTGCGCTTTCATTCCATCCACACCGCATGCAATGATTGACAGCAACCACCAGTCTACACATAACGAGCGCTGATGCGATTAAAGGCAGGCGAGGGCTTATGATGCTTCCAAGAGGAGGGAAAGCATATCAGAGATCCCTTTTCCGGTCTCAAGCCACAAATGGGGCTCGATGGCTTCGATCTCCATCAAAACAAATGGCCGATCCTCCGTGATGAGTCCGTCAATCCGCACGTAGCCTATTTCCCCGGAGCTCAGACCCTCTGTCGACTTGTATCCGAAGCGGCGTTGAAGTGAATTGAACACGTTTTGAACCGCTTGGAGACTCTGTAGCTTGATGTCGAGGAGGTTTGCTAGCCTAGCGGATCCACCATACTCGTCCTGAACTCGGAAGTCTCCTTTTTGGGGGGATTTGAGCATGACATGGGTAAGATGTGAACCCACGAAAACGAAGGAATACTCTCCTGTTGAAATTGCAGGTTCAAATTTCTGAATGAGCAAAGAGCTCCGGAGACCCCCAAGAGTGCAAAGCTCGAGGAAGGTCAAGTCATCCGGGGAAAGTGTTGATGTGTTTGTGATCCGCCGGGTTAGCGTAGAGGATGCAGACATAGATGGTTTCAAGACCACGGACTCTGATGGAAGGAAATCATGCACCAGAGCGTTCAATTCAGCCACGCTGTACTTCCGAGGGTCCAAAATTTTGGTCTTAGGAATAGTGAAGCCTTCCTGCTCCATATCTAGCAAGTACCGTTTGTCCGCATTCCACCGGACAAGTTTGGTGTTGTTAATGATGCGAGGAACGTTGGACAGAGGGGCATCTGGCAGGCTCCACACCGACTTTTCCGCTTTTTCAAGAAAGGCGAAGAACTTTCTGGGATGCTTATAGTACTCATTGCACCAAAGGAAGGTGACCACATCGAACTGACTGAGCACTGTTAGGATATCCTCATCCATCCAGCATTTGAGCGTGACCTGGGCTCCTCTTTCCATGAGGAGACCAGGCAAATCGTAGTTCTGATAAAATGGCCATTCTGCCCTTATCGTATGGGGCTGTTGCGTGGTGAGGAACAAAATCTTTTGCGGGGTGTCAAGGATTGGACGCATTGCGAGGACCAAATTTCAATAAGAATGATAGGGAATTAACTGAGGCCACGCAATTGCAGGCTAACAAAAATGCTATGACATGTGTCTTCAAGCTCTTGGGCTTGAACTAGAGCGATGCTTTAATACTTGGTCCTCTTTCATGGATCTGAATGAATGCCCGCTCTCTGATCCCTTCATACTCTGCTGATGGGGCGTGTGCAGCCAGGAATGACTCTGCTTGGTTACATGAACTAACAACAGCATGGCTTGATGACGCCGTATCTCCCATGTTCCACACAATTAGTACGTGCATGGTGGCGACATACAGGAGCACAACTTGCGTCGGAGTTGCCGTTCTGTCTGCGACCCAAACCCCGAATCGAGCAGAATTAAGGACAAGGTCCAGGTTTCATTGACTAAGAGATTCCCGAACATTTACTATCGACCCATAGGAGGCAACAAAGTATTTGCGGACGGAAAATAGTATACGATAGTCACGCTTGACAGCAAGGCTTTTACCTCGTGATGGCAGATCTTGCGTTCAGTCTAGTACACTAAGACTATCTGCCGCCGGAACATTACATAGCCGTCTCCAGAATTTCACTGGGACATCTAGAGCCTATACAGAGCACATAGTAATTGATTACAACACTTAATGCCATAGAGAAACCATGGAGATCATCTACTTCACTCCCCCTTAGTCCGAGGCTCTCTCACCATGGACGCAAGTCCGCAGGTCATGCTCCGAACCACGAAACCGAAACGCTCGTAGATCGGTTTTCCAGCTTCGCTCGAGTCAATGTAGATTAGAGCATCCTCTTGATCCGCTACCTGACATCCCCATATAAGGAGTAAACGCGCTGCTCCCATGCGTCGGTAATCGGTATGCGTCGCGAGCATATCAAGATCTACAGATAGGTCAGATACTTACACGTGAGAGTTTTAACTTTGCAAACTTACAGAAATTTTTCCTGCCGTCTCCAACAAGGTGATTGCGAACATCCTCCAGTCGTTGAAAAAATTCCTCGTTACGACGGGCATCCATGTCCGGGTGCCAAGGGGGAAACCGGGGGCCACGTTCCTTGGAAGTCTCAAGGGACCATTTGGCATAAGCGGCAATACGCCCAGTCTGGCTGTCAACTACCTTAAGATATTTTTCGCGTGGCTTGTGTAGCATGTCATAGCGAATGGCTGACTCCCACCACTGCCGTACTCCCGGAGTGTCAGGCCAGATAGCAAGCAGAGAAGGAATGCTGAAGGCATTGTACCACAGGCGTACCAGCTCAGGAACGTCCTCAATTGTTGCCAATTCGAGTTTGAGCGGTGGTTCTGGTGTCAGAGTGCCGGTAACTGTGGTGACTGTGGTTGCCATAGTGGGGGATTGATAATCAAAGTAAACTCCGAGCTGCTTGTGCAATGAGCTGTTGATTGGGCTTTCGCAGTTGTGATATGGAAAAATATTCAATTGTCAAACGCCACCCAAGCAAGATTGCTCAAAGGCCACCTGACAATAGAAAGTAAGAGAATCACTAGTGACCATCTTCATTTACGTCGATCGAGCGATCTCATCTGGCGGCCAAAACAGGTTTGCTTATATTAATAGTGACCGCCATTATACTTTCCTAGGGTATCCCCGAAGCGCTACTCCGCACCGCCTTAATTATGCAAGAGGTCAACTAGTGTCTATTACGGAGATTGGACTGCCAACCCCTCACGGCCGATGGGCCCCTTAGCTGGAAGGAATCCCCGGGGTCGGCCCGCCAGTGGATCCTGCCGAGTCATGTAGCATTGCAGCTAGAACCGGCCAGTGAAAGCTCGCCTTGCAAGCCCAGGCACCACTTCGGATGCACTCATCCAAAAAATGCTAGAATGATTGGCGAGCAGCAGAAAACGGTGCAGTTACTAGGCATTGCAACATGGAGCCCCCCGAGCACGTCGCCCAACGCGCTTACTGATGGATGCCATTTCAAACCCCGAGTGGCAATGCATGAGCTTACCATCTAAGAAATGCAGGTTCAGATACACACTAGTGTCAGACGTTAATACCGATGGCAGGCCAGCTATGGGGAATCTGAAAAATCCCTCGGCCAATAAAAAGGTCTGGAATTATGCAATCCCGACGACTCACCAGCACTGTCGTGGCACTCTCTCGTGGAGGCGTCTCTGGAAGATTTGTGACCTGATTGTGTAGCCTGCAGAATGAGTTAATCTAACTTTCTTCATGAGACAAGACCCATCTGCGTCGTGGTGTGGTCCTCAAGACTTCGACTGGAGGTTTCTACGAGCTCTACAAGCCCAGTCGAACATTTCTATCATACCATTGTTCTACGTCGAGGGAAAGAGAAAGTAAAGAAAAAGAATTCTATGTATGGCTGAATAGCCACAAAAGCAAGGGCTGTGACTGAAAGGGAGCATTTTCGTTGCCAACGCGCTATAATTGAAGGTTCATCCATCCATAGGTTATTATCCACTCAAATGAGGGCTGAATCGACGAGGTTACATCGAAAGCGGATCATCCAGCACAATCGCGCCGAAGCAAACATTGTGACAGGTTTACATCCAACCTGATCTGTCGTAGGAAACAGCACAATTTTAAGTATAGAGTCAACAGATCCCGAAATACCTGCATCTAGGCCTGTACCTAAATTGCAATGGCGTAAGAATGCCAAACGATTCGTCACTCAGAGACCGAGGGCATCATGCTGGCCGTTGCGCGAGATGCATACCCACAAATGGTCCAGAACAAGAACAAGTCGAGACTCAAAGCCCGAGGCCTTGCGTATGATCATCAAAGTTGGATCTCTGCTAGGCAAGATGTGGCGAATAACTGATCACGACAGAGAGCATGCACATCGATGACAGAATTTAATCGCTTGCATGATTGATGCAAAATCTTGATTGCATGCTCTACATGCCAAGCTGCTACTGTGAAGTACGTTTTGGTGGCTGGTGGCGTCAGAAAGAAGTCCTTTCTGGTTGTAAAATGAGGCTATAAATAGGGCTTCCTGGCCGGTGCAATGAGAGCTCATCATCGGAACATCGGAACACGATCTCTCAAACTATCATAAACTTTTAGCTTTTTCTATTCTTCAATTCAATATGCCTACCATCGGCCAAGTTTACCAGCTTTCCAAGACTGAAGAAGATACTTCAACGATTGGTACTGCGTACGGAGATATCAGGTATATTCAAGATATTCTTTCATATATCCTTAGGGGACTAGCTGTAATCTGGGAACAGCCATGACGATTGAATCCCTGCCTTCTTATTGCATCACAACTAGTCAAGCCATACTAACCTCTACAGCATTCTCGGCCAGAAGGTCCGCAAGACCCAGTTTGCCAATCCTTTGAATCAAGCCATCCTTTTTCTCCATCCACACTTGACCCAAACCTACAACCCACTCAAAGGCCGAACTCTGAGCACCAATGGCCCTATCCGCGCTGGAGAGCTCCTCATGGCCGACCTCCCCTATGCCGTGCTGCCAACCGTGGCCGTTGGGGGTGGCGACGACTCCATTTGCAGCAACCTGGGCTGCAGTCGACGCGTTTCCCGGCATGCAGCAAATAGCGTTACATGCGAGACTGGTTGCTCTCTCGATATCTGGTGGTGTAACGAGTCCTGCAAAGATGAAGACCAGGCCCGTCACGACTTCGAGTGCGCCTGGCTGAAGAAGTACAGCCCCGTTCTCCGCCAGGAACTCGGCGATCACGATTATTACATGCTTTGGATCATCATCCGACTCCTTGCAGCCCGGTACCTCGAGCTCCAAGGCACAACGCCAACCAACGTTCACCAGCAACTCACATTCCAAGATCGCTTCGTTAGCGGCTGGAAAGGCGTCCAGCTCCTCCGAAGCAACCGTGGCTCCTGGCCCACGTCCCAGCTTCAACACTGGACCACTCTAGCCGAAAAATATTTGTTACAATCTTCGCTCCTCCCGGAAACCCTCGACCTCGATACCCTCGTCGACCTGATCTGCGCCGAGGAAACCAACGTTTTCGAACTTTGCCCCGGCCCGACGGAGATCATCCCACACCAATCTCCGGGCGTCGAGCGCGGCACGCAGTACGGCCTAGCTGTGTTTCTGCGCATCACGCTCGCAAATCACTCTTGCGCGCCCAATGTAAGTACACATCCCACTTCCCGCCCAACTGCGTGTCCCCAAGTTGACCTGTCGCTCACTAACTCAACCCACCACGTAGGTGACACACCAAGCCGACGACCGTGGTCGAATGATGGTGACTGCACTGCGGGACATCGCGCCAGGCGAGGAGTGTTGTACCTCCTACTTCGACCTGTCTGAATACGTTGACCTGCAGGCACGTCGAAAGAAAACCCAGGAGTTGTTCACATTCACGTGTACGTGCCCGAGGTGTTTGCAGGAGGAACGGGGCCAGAATTAGTATGTGATGGATGTTATTGGAGAAAGAAAAGTCCTCATGCAGGTGGGATCCGTTTTGTGATACGTCGTTTTTGCGGGCTTAATTTTGGCTTGGCTCTGATTTGCCCAGTGGCGCTACTCCGTAGAACATGTGTGGCCCGTGCTCGTGCGGGACTTGAGACATCATGTTTTAGCAGATTGCTCGTTGTACCTCGTTGCCTCTGGTATATTTGAACTAGTAGCACCTAGAAATATATTACGGGGAAGAGTGGTCAATAACTTGCGCATGGTTGTAGACTCGTGGGTAACACATGTTGTCAGGCGGGATGGCTGGAGAACATAAAATGGCTCAGCCCACCCCTCTTATCTCAGTGTGGTCAGCTCGTATTCAGCTTTTTATGAAATACCTGCTGTCGCGATGTCGTTCCTCCGCTCTACCTTACCCTTCCTCGGGCAAATCACAGTCCGCAAATGTCTCGGCCAACAACAGCCCTTCTACACCCCATTTCACCAAATACGACAGTATTCCCCCTCCATCGACTACCAAATCAGCGCAACAAGATCTACCATCGCCCAAATCCTCAACCACATTGACTCTCAGCATACTGCAGCACAGTACCTCTCCCACTTCACCAACTTCCATTCTCCTACGCAGCAGCCCTTCGCTGTGATTAAGGTCGGAGGCGCGATACTCGATACTCACCTCCAGACCCTTGCATCAAGTCTCGCCTTCTTCAGCCGCATGGGCCTCTACCCCGTTATCGTTCACGGCGCCGGACCTCAACTTAACAAGATCCTCGAGGATGCAGGCGTGGAACCGCACTTCGAGGAGGGGATCCGCGTAACAGATGGCCAGACCCTGTCTATCGCACGGAGACTCTTCCTCGAAGAGAACCTTAAGCTAGTCCAAGCGCTAGAGGAAATCGGGGTTGCGGCGCGGCCGATCACGGCGGGCGTGTTCCAGGCAGAGCATCTCGATCAGAAGAGATATGGGCTCGTCGGACGGATAACGAAGGTGGAGACAGCGCCTATTGTTTCGGCCATGAGGGCGTCTTGCCTACCTATTCTTACGTCTATGGCTGAGACGAAGGATGGGCAAGTGCTTAATGTGAACGCAGACCTTGCGGCTAGTGAGCTGGCGAGAACGTTGAAGCCGAAGAAGGTAGTTTATCTTGCTGAGAAGGGTGGGTTGGTGCATGGGGTGACGGGGAAGAGGATCGAGAGGATTAATTTGAGCGAGGAGTTTGATGATCTCATGGCTCAAGATTGGGTCAAGTATGGGACGAGGTTGAAAATTCGTGCTGTGGAGGAGCTGTTGCGTGGGTTACCGGGTACGTCTAGTGTGTCGATTGTCCATCCGGTTGATTTACAACGGGAGGTTTTTGCGGCCTCTGGTGCCGGCACATTGATTGAGAGGGGGACAAGGATCTACAGTACTACTTCTGCGGAATTTAGGGATGAGGAGAGGCTGGTGCAGGCTTTGGCACGGCAGGGGGCTGGTCATGATGAGGTGAGGTTTTGCGTGGATGAGATGCGGAGGAATCGTCCGCTCAAGATGTATTTCAATGATCCGTCATCTTTGAGTCCATTGGCTGTCGTTGCATTTGGGTCTGGAGGCGTACCGCGCTTGATTACGTTTCCAAATGGGATTATGGGTGCGGGTGCTGTCGCTGATGATATTTTTGTTCGGATCACGAAAGATTTTCCCAAGATGGTGTGGAATGTTCGTGATGATGATGACAGACTTGAGTGGTTTTCGGCTCGCGCAACTGGGAGGTTTCAGCATGGAGGTTGGATTCTGCTTTGGCACGGATTGAATCAGCAGGAGGCTAGGCAGTTGATATTGGGGTTCCGAGATGATTATGAGGCGGATGAGGTTGAATTGGAAACGAGTGATACCTATAGACTGGCTGCTCAAGCTTAATCTGTGCTTTGTGATGGATTGTGGGAGCCAGACTGGTTATGAGTGACTATGTGCAACTCATATTGTTTATTCAATTCAATTCATTTCATTTCATATTCTTATACCTGATCGAGCCCGCTAAGTAAGATGCTAGCTATGCAGGTGCTTCACTGTTTAAAGCAGAAATATAGTCCCAAACACTGTCAGATCTCTTAAACTCGTAGTAAAACACACAAAAAACAACACATATTACGACGTAGAAAGATCGTCATCGTAGTTTAATGTAATTAAATATAATAAAAACAAAATATAATTATATAAAAACAGATATAAATAAGCATCACAGCTGACTGGCCAGCTGCCTGGCCAGTTGCTGTCAAACCCTAGGATCGCTTCCCTGCCCCAGTTAGCTTAGCCCCGTTGGTATACGTACCGTCGAACTACGTCGAGGAGGTATCAACTGATGACTATCTAAGAGATAACTAGATCATGGACAAGAGAAGAGAAGTAAGGCCGAATAGTACTATACAGCTATTTATAAGTAAATGCGGACAAGCGTTCTATAGCTAAGCTTTTAAATATATAGTTACTTAGAGACAGTAGTATTAAACATAAAGAACAGAACTAACTAAGTATATAAAAAAGTATTTTTATATATTCTATTCTCTGTATATTATATTATATACCATCGGGTCTGCTGTATACCAGTATAGTAGTTATAGACCATAATAGTATATTGTATACCATATATTGGTTCATATACTATAGTCACGTGGTATGAGGCTGTTCCGGATATTATAATAATAATTTCTAATTATACTAAATAATAGTTTAGTTTTATCTGAGTGCTGTTCTTATCAGTATTTTCTGCCTGGTGAGTCCGCCTTACTAGTAAGTTAACTAATAGAAGTCTATAATATCACTCTTTCTTCTTTAAGATTTATTGCTCTCAAGAAATATAAAAATATATATTCTTTTATTATATATTAGCTGGATTCTTCAGTTTCTTTCTTCTCCCAGAATGGGTCATCATGTCTTTATATAATTATTACAAGGAGCGTTGCCATTAAACTAACCAGATTATTTATAATAATATCTAGATTAAATTCTTTTATACCTGGTATGATTCCTACAGTCTTTTTTATTTCATAGATTCTAAAAACTGAAATTATGCGGCCTGCACTCGTCACAGCTGTAAATGCAAGAAATATTTCCACAGTGATTCTGAGTAGAATAAACTTCAGTATAATAAAGAGAAAATAGCTTAAGAGATTAAAAAGACTAAAAAGCAGATTAAACAGTTATTTATAAAAATAAAATATCTGTGAAAATATTAAAAATTTCTTAAGAATTATGATAGTCGGATATTAAATCATGATTTAAATATACTGGATTTATTAAATGGTAAGGATTCTCCAAGCGTCAAGGATCTTTGAAAGCTGAAGTATTTAATTAATAAATATAATACTACTTAACTTACTACTGTATTAGATAATTCTAATTTAATTTTATTAATTAATTTTTCTTTCTTCTGGATAAATCTCGACTTATCTATTGATAATACTTTTCTACAAGCCGGTGACAGCCTGTTAAATTCTTAATAAATTTCCATGTATTTTCTGAGGTATTATAATCTTTTTATTTTATTAAATAATATAATTTATTATTAATTTTCTTATAGTCTAGAATTCTTTTGACTTTGTATTCTTGCTTGGTGTTATTATTAATTTTCATATTTTCTACGATTCTAGTGTTCTTTGGTGCAGATTCTAATAATAAGATATAAAATACTAGATAAATTCTATTTATTAATTTTAATAATTTTAATTTATAATTGACTGGTTCTTTTTTTTTTTTAATGATAAATAGTCCTAGTTTATAGTAGTCGAGTTTCTGGCTTAGTTATTTTATTTTAATATTTTTATAAAGTAAGAATATTTTCTTCTTTCTTTTTAGATTAGATTCTTTTCTATATCAGTGATTATAGTAAATCTTGCTTTATAGGTTCATGAATTTAATATCTCAGGATAACTGAGTATATATATATTCTATAAATATAATAATATTTTTAGTTATATTAGTAACTGGTTGCTTTTCTAATAGTATTTCCAAGAATCTTGAATGGTAATTATAATTAGTATAAAATAGTAAGACTCTAATTATTAAATAGTTAGCATTGTTATATAAGAACTATGTTATAGATAATAAATCTATTTAATTATTCTATTAGTAATTAATATAATATCTCAGATATTATTTAATTATCTGATTAACTTTTTTTATTTGTCTGTTTATCTAAGAGTGGTAAGCTGTTGTTATTTATTCTTTAATTTCTATAAGATCTATAAGTAATCTCTAAAATTTTAAAATAAATAATTTATCTTTATCTGATATAATATACTTTGATATTTTATAATTTATAATAATATTCTCTAAAAATAGTTCTGTTATCTATATTGCTGTTATTGTCGTTTTGCTTGGTACAAGATGGATGTATTTAATAAGATAATCAGTGATGACTATAATAATATTATATTTTTTTAATTCAGATAATAATCTAATAAAATTAATTATTATTTATTTTTATAGTTATTATAATATCTTTTATACTTATATTTATCCATAGAATTGGTACCTCGCGGGCTTGTTCCTAATATATATCTTATATTATCTAATATAATCACATATTTTTTATCTGAGATTCAGAATATAATAATTTTTAATAATTAATTTTATGGTTTTTTTAACTCCTAGGTAGCCTTTGAGCAGTTTATTATAATATATAACCAGGATTTCTATTCTTATACTGATTAATATAAAAATTAATCTGTGGAAGTAGGCTAGCCTATTTTTATTAATAATAATCTTATTTAATAAGTTTTTATTTATTTTCTGGAGTATCTTGTTGTTCTTGATAACATCAGTGTCAAACCCTAGGATCGCTTCCCTGTCCCAGTTAGCTTAGCCCCGTTGGTACACGTACCGCCGAACTACATCGAGGTGGTATCAACTGATGACTATCTGAGAGATAACTAAGTCATGGACAAGAGAAAAGAAGTAAGACCAAATAGTACCGCACAGCTATTTATAAGTAAGTACAGATGAGCGTTCTATAGCTAAGCTTCTAAATATATAGTTACTTAAAAACAGTTATATTAAATATAAAGAATAGAACTAATTAAGTATATAAAAAAATATTTTTATATATTTTATTCTCTGTATATTATATTATATATCCTTCAGAGTAGATTGATAGTTGATCCTGAGATTCCTATATATCCTGGATATACCTTTAATAATAGGTTTGATGATAAATAATCACATAATACATGGCCGTCCCGGGCGTTGTAATAGCAATTCCTAATTATATTAAATAACAATTTAACTTTGTCTGAGTACTGCTCTTATCAGTACTTTCTACCTGGTGAGTCCGCCTTACTAGTAGATTAACTAGCAGAGATCTATAATATTATTTTTTCTTCTTTAAGATTTCTTATTCTCAAGAAATATAAAGATGCATATCCCCCTGTGTATATTAGCTAAATCCTTCAGTTTTCTATTTTTCCAGAATAGATTAACATATCTCGTCGCCATACTAATTGTAATCGGGTAAAAGAGCGTATTCATCAATCTAACAAGATTTATAAGAACAGTTATATTATCAAAAATTCTTATAAATACTATTTCTTAAAAGATATTCTCTGTATCATAGATTTAAAGAGTTGGAACTGTGCAGCTTGCACTCATTATAATCAGAAGTATAAAAAGTAATTTTATAATAATAAGAAATAGAATAAGTTGAAGCAGAATCAGTCAAAGATACAGAATAAACTTATAAAGACTTTAGCTAAACAGACTTATATTTCCACTAAGATAGCTTGTTTATTTAAATAATAATAATTCTTTAAGAATTATAATAAACAGATACTGGATTATAACTTAAATATATTAGAATAGTTGGATGAGAAGAATCCTCCAAGTACTGAGGATCTCCAAAAACTAGAATATTTAGTTAATAAGTATAATACTATTTAACTTACTACTATATCAGATAATTCTAATCTGATTTAATTAGTTAGTTTTTCTTTCTTCTGGACAAACCTTGATTTATCTGTTGATAGTACTTTTCTATAAGCTGGTAACAGTCTGTCAAATTCTTAATAAGTTTTTATATATTCTTTAAGATATCATAGCCTTTCTATTTTACTAAGTAATATAGCTTGCTATTAATCTTCTTATAGTCTAGAATCTTTTCAACTTCATATTCTTGTTCAGTGTTGTTATTAATTTCTATATTTTCCGCGATTCTAGCGTTCTTTGGTGCGGGTTCTAATAATGAGATATAAAATACTGGATAAATTCTGTTTATTAATTTTAGTAATTTTAGTTTATAATTAAGTGGTTCTTTCTTTTCTTCGATAATAAATGGTCTTAGTTTATAGTAATTAAGTTTCTGATTTAGTTATTTTATCTTAATATTTCTATAGAGTAGAAATACTTTCTCTTCTCTTTTTAGATCAGATTTCTTTCTGTATCAGTAATTATAATAGATCTTGCTCTGTAAATTCATAAATTCAATATTTTAAGATAACTGGATGTATATATATCCTGTGAACGCGATAATATCTTCAGCTATATCAGTAATTAATTACTTTTCTAATAGCATTTCCAGGAATCTTGGATGGTAGCCATAATTAGCATAAAATAATAAGATTCTAATTATTAAATAGTTGGTATTATTATATAAGAACTGTGTTATAGGCAACAGATCTGCCCAATCATTCTATTAATAATTAATATAATATTTCAGATATTATTTAATTATCTAATTAATTTTTTCTATTTGTCTGTTTACCTGAGGATAATAAGCCGTTGTCATTTATTCTTTAATTTCTATAAGATTTATAAGTAATCTCTAGAACTTTAAGATAAACAGCTTATCTCTATCTGATATAATATACTTTAACATCTTATAGTTTATAATAATATTTTCTAAAAATAGTTCTGTTATTTATATTACT